TTGGCATCCAGTGTCTGCTTCTCCCGCTCGACACTGGCCTCTCTCCACTTCCTGCCTTTGTACAACACCAGCAGAATCATGCACTCCACAACGACTATCATACCTGCCCAAATAGTATACAGACCACCATCGCCAATAGTATCCTAAACTAACCTCAGATCTGGCCTTTCGCAAACTGTTATGACCTGGACTCACTTGTAAAGGAACCGCAATCTCGGCGGCGATAAAAGCAAACAGACCACGGAAAGAACTATTCGTTGCTACTGCCATTGACGAGCGACCAGTGTTTGCATCGACAATGTATGCCAGCGTGCTCGAGTACATCCATCTATCGTGGATGAGAAGTAAATTACAATATAAAATGCAGTGAACGTACATTGATAAAAATCCGGCGAGGAACAGCATCACACACACAGCGGCAATATTGACTTGTTCTTGACACACCCAGGCGTATCCAATCACAGACAAAGGTAACCATAACATGGCAACCTTCGTGCTCTCAAGTCGCATCTGCATGAATTTGCATCAGCCACCCGCTGAGTTAGTGGCCAGTGGTTCGACGTTCACCTCTGGAAAGCTGACCCCTCCATTTGCAGCCTTCAGCCGAGCAAGTGTTCGATCGGACCAACGACCACCTAATATACTGCCGGCTATGGAGCCTGGGATAAGTAGATGCGTCAGGCAGGTGTTCCTAATTTGCATGTAATTCGCTCACCGACACCATAAACAAGCAAAACAAGGCCAGTCTTCAATGCATCATAATCATAATACATCGACAATGTTCTTGCAGATGTATATGTAATACTAAAGCTAAACGCAAATGTTAAGCCTAGCACGAGAGGGTATAAAAATATTTTTCAGCAAAAAAATGAGGGTACGTACCTGATGCTATCAATATAACCAAGTTGTTCTTGCAGCTGACAATCGAGAGGTATGCAGGGAAAGGATTGACATCAGCCATGGACAGTTTTACGTCTTTGATGGCTGATGGTATAATTGGTCGTTGGGCTTCGATATCTTTCGAAGTCGTCTTGTTTTCTCCATCCACTTTTGACTCCGAAATATTTCGCGACTCGTCCTTTGCTTCCAACGACTGCTGCTCTCCGAGTCTCGAATTCAATACGTTCTGATAAGTCACACTCCTCTCCTTCCTGAACGTGTCCTTGAACAAGAAAAGGAATGCCAAAAAAATTATGCCTCCCCAGATGACTAAGAACCAGAAAACCGCCCGCCAGCTGAAGCCCTGCGTGAGTGCACCACCAAATATTGGTCCTAACGAGGGACCGAGGAGAGGTGCAGAATAGTAGACCCCCATCATTGTACCTCGTTGATGTGGTTCGTATATATCGGCCAGAGTGGCAGCTCCAATAGCGAAAACTGCGCTTGACCTACTCAAGGTGAGCACGGACATGAGGGATTGAGGAACTGTCTTACCCTGTGGCTTGCACGATTCGCATGCCAATCAACAAACCAATAGTTCTTGACACAGCCACGATTGCAGATCCAATTATAAAAAGTGCAATGGATAGAAGGTACACAAGCTGTAGTCAGTCATATTAACGAACGACGCTCTAAAGGCAGCAATAAATACAAACCTTGCGGCCCTTTATCTCGCCAATTGCACTCCAAATGATAGGAAAATTGCCTTGGACGAGAACGAACAGAGATAAACTCAGGCTGATATCTCCGCTGCTGGCATGCAGCTGTTGCTCGATTTGAGCATTGGCAGCTGTTCCGTGGCAATTCAACCGATATTGGGCACAATAGGATCACGGACGCAACCTACGGTTTTGTATGTTCGTCGCCAAACCCGCAAACATTGAGGCTCCAGATATAATGAACAATACAGCGGTCTGTAGTTGTGTTCGATCAGTTCCTACCTGCATGTTGGGATATATGGACCCACCTTCTTCGTGTTTGACCACAATCGAGGATCATCCTCAACCACGGCATGCTCTATATCGAGCTTAATGGGTTCATTTGACAATATTGAGCTGGGGGAGTGCAGCTGGGTATCAGTATGAGACTCCACACTCGGGACCTCTATAGGTGACAAGTCCGTACTCCGGCTTTCTGACATGGGGGCAAAATGTCCGATGCACGAGTCAACAATTATATGACAGTGTATGATTTTATAGATGGTTCATGGATAACGCGAGCGCCAGAAAGCGAATATTGTTTTGCCAGTGTCGATGATAAGAGCACACTGGATGGGAGAGCTCCACCAACTATAGTGTGTCGGACAACGTGGCCGATGAGGGTGACACGGCCATAAATGCTCGACGTTATCTTCGTTTCAGATAACAGCCAACCAAGGAAGGCCCCAAGGCCAAACGACCTGCTCAAGTTCGTGAGATTTACATTTAGATTGCAATTATCCAAAGCTAGATATGTCTTGGAACGGAATTTCGGATGCCCGGTCAGTGAAAGGTGAAGTGAAGCTAATAATGACTATCCAAGTCAACAGCAATCCTCACATAAATCATGTATCAAGTGACCGTGCTCCAATCTTCTGACCTTTGTAATGTATTCCGATGGAAAAACTTTCAGGTGTCTTCGGCTCAGAAAGTCCGAATTGGGAGTCACCGTGACCTTTCTGAGTCCAAGTATAAGTCCTGCAATCAAGAGTAAAATGAGAACGTTGATGATAGCCACAGCCAACTACGCCGAAATGAAAACAATGTACTTATAGCTATACCTGCTGCATGTACCAAGTCCCTCAGTACTCAGTACTCGAGTTGTCACTTTGTCATCCGTTGACGCGTTGGACTGATACATCGATGAACGTTCATAATATTGTTGAAGAGAAGGAGAAAAGCGCTGTGGCTTACGTAAACTGGACGTTGCTGTCAGTCTGAGGCCGCAACGGAAAGCTTGCTTGATTGAATCGCACCAGTAAAGTCTATCTATCAGTTTATCATAGTAGCCTGCTTCAAGTTGCTGTAATATTGTCACAAAACACGGTAAGTCTTGTTTCTACAATTTTCACTGCCGGTCTACAAATAGTATCTATGTATGATGGAAATAAATTAATAATAGTCCATTCACTGCTATCGCTGTAGTTTCGTGTCAATGTCTAATCCAGTGTATTTTTGTCGTATTGTAAGATAGTAGGCTCGTGACCAGTCTAACATACGTCTTTGAGAGGTGGAGAATCATGATATAAGCCGAACCGGTCCCGAGCCTAGTAAGAGAGCTGATCTCGTCAACGGCCGCCTCACAAGAGTTGAAGTATGCCGTCCGCTCAGCACTTCAAAGAGAAAGTGTTTGTAAGGGGAGTAATCACGAGTATAGGAGAGAAGTAAAGTAACATTAAAAGTAGAATCTTAAAGTAGCGTCAGATTACTACTTTAAGATTCCGCTTAGGGTTAATCAGTGAAGTCCTGGAACCATGAAACGCATACATGTAGTTCACGTCCTCTGGCGTGGTTTGATCACCAATCCCTCGCATCCATGTAAACCACATACGTGTGATAAAGCGTCTCGACTGATCTTCAGAAACGATCGTCAGATGGCTGATGCACCGATAATCGTAAAGGCCACCGGGTTCGAACATGATCTAAATTGACCGCCAGTAAGGGCAACTTCTGCGCTCATACTCTTGATGTGCTCGGGTGTCGGACCATCCACAAAAGCCACGTGCTCTACCCTGGGCTCTTCCTGCACCAGCGCAGCCTTCATAAAAGATGTCGTAAGGCTAGAAAAAATCAAGGGTACAGTTAGGCCAGGGGACACGGGATAGTGAAAGACATCGTACCAGAGTCTTCGAAGCTCGTCAGTGGTAATTTTCCCTCCACATTCATTCTGCTTCTATACGATCTAAGCGTTGGTTAGCGCCTGTTTGATGTGGGCCTGCCCCATGCGCGTGACCTCTCGTCTTACGATTGTGCTGGGAGAAATTCTGTCAGATCTGATACCCAACGTAGATGTTAGGAAAATACTTTAATGTGACGACATATTTTCGCCACCTGAGCCTCGATAGCCTCATCAGCTGGGCTTTCTTGAAGTAAGTTCAAAGCACAGAGGATAAAGGCATGCGAGGATATTTGATTGCGTCTCTGTACGTAGTTTAAGGCCTCGTGATCAGGAGTTGGAGGCAACACGAGTAGTGAATAATGAATGATTTCAGGGTTGAGGAAGATGGGTCCGAGGTCATATTGGGTGCTGCAATGCTATGTTCGCCTTTGGTTGAGACATAGTGATGTCATCTGCCCCCCAACCAACATATCATGATGCAGCCGCGATCGAGCGTTCGAAATTTTGCAGGATTGACATGTTTGTACAGATTGTAACACGAACTTCAAATCGGAAAAACCATAGGTTATCATCTCTCGCGCTCCAGCACAAAAAGTAGGTTGCAAAACGCGCAATGGTGACATGCCCAGCGTCGCATATGTGTGGCCAACTATGAATAGATCTCCAGAAGCTTACGTTCACTGAGGACCGAATCGCACACCATGGAATACTGGACCGCTGGCTTCTTTGAGAATACACCTATACTAGTTCCCTGATTAGCATGGACAGGATTTCAAGCCAATCGAATCTACGGACATACTTGCAAGACACGTCTGCTTAACGAGCTCCTCGGAAGAGATTCAGGCTTAAGAAATGAAAGTGTGAGACAGCCACTCGTCTCGGAGGACCGGCACGCCCTGGATTTTTGATATCAGGCCATAACCCATTGGCCAAGAATAGTGAGCGCAGCTCTAAGCTTCCCTCGCTACCTTCAAAATGGGTAACACGCAAAGTATTATGTGAGAAGGTCCCACACAGTGCTTCTTGCGTTCGTGGTCGACATGCACAACATACTAGTCCTTGATAACGAGCCAGGGCCAATATCGATGAAAGTCGCTCGTTGTAGCACGTCCTAGATATCAGACGAGTCGGGCCAAGAGTAGTGAGTGTGGCTCTGCCAGCCTGAGGTTTGCCTCACCGTGTGAGACACAGCTGCGCAATTGCTCCCGATCATAACCGGCGGATGCCGAGCTAGCTTCATTAATCAAATTCCAAATTCGTGGTCGAAACTTCACCGTTAAATATTCGCTAGGCACTGACCGCCTTACATTACGTTCGTTCGCAGTAGACCGACGAAGCCTGGAGAGGCTCCATGGCAGCACAATCAGTTTGCAAAGGAACGGGGTCCGAGATTGGTAATTCAATTTTTAAGTCGCCCTGGACCAGCTGATTTTTGGCTAGACTTCAGTTACTTCGGTGGTGCTGAATCTTTCACGGAAGGGAAACGCTCTCTACGTCGGACAACCGTTGTTTCCCCTTCTGAACAAGATGATGGTGTATCTTACCCAGGTCCACCGCAAGACCCCACAGATTTTTTGTGGATAATGACGGAGGAACCTCACCGCTCACGACGCATGGCCATTATGAAAGCGCATCCCGAAGTTACCAAGCTCATGGGGTACGAGCCTCTCACAAAATATGTCGTACTGGCTGTCGTATCACTGCAGCTCTACCTTGCCATATATCTCCGACACACCCATCCGCTCTCTTTCCGCTTTTTGTTCCTCGCGTATGCTGTAGGCGGCACAACCAACCAGAATCTTTTCCTCGCCATTCATGAGATTACGCATAACTTAGCATTCAAGGGCATTAATGCGAACAAGGCCCTGGCCGTTTTCGCGAACTTGCCCATCGGTGTACCCTATTTCGCCGCGTTCAAGGTGTGTAACGCGCGTGTATGAGCAAACGTTGACTGACAGGCACTGCGGATGTTCCTAGAAATACCACATAGAACATCACAAACATCTTGGAGAGGATGGGATAGACACTGATCTGCCCACAAATTTTGAACTGCTTTGTCTCAATAACGTTCTTGGAAAGACATTTTTCGCGTGAGTTCGGTGTCACGTCTAAGCATGGAGCTTAACTCACACATATATTAGGACGTTCCAGATATTCTTTTACGCCCTAAGACCTGGCTTTGTCAAAATGCAGACGCCCAACCGATGGCATTTGTACAATGTGATTGTGCAGCTTCTCTTGGATTATATCCTGGTGCATACTTTCGGCATTCGCCCCCTGCTATACCTGCTCTTCTCGAGCTTCTTTGCCGGAAGTCTACATCCATGCGCAGGCCACTTCATTGCCGAACATTATGTATGGGATGGTCTCAGCCAGGAGACCTATAGCTATTATGGTCCCCTGAACATCCTGGCTTACAACGTACGTCATTTTGTACCGTTTTTTCGCCTACGTTAATTATGTTGCGCAGGTTGGCTATCACAACGAGCATCATGACTTCCCCTCTATACCGTGGACGCGTCTTCCAGCATTGCGAGCACTGGCACCAGAGTTCTATGACATTCTTCCATCACATCCCAGTTGGCCGATGGTCATCGTGAACTTTATTCGAGACAAGGAGGTCGGCATCTTCGCACGTGCCAAGAGGTTGGCCAAGAATAGCAAGCAGAAGCATGAGAGTCCAAGCTCAAGCTCAAGCAGTGATCGGGAGTGAAGTGGTCGACTAACATTTAGGTGCTTTCTTAATGGACGTTGTATATACATCGCCGTACGACAATCAATTGGCTTTGCAGAAAGGAATGAGGATCAGTATTCGCCTTCGATTTAATGGGTGTCTTTAGAGTGGCATATGTCCGGTGCTCGTCTACCAGTCTTGTCTCATTTTTGGTAGCCTGGGACCACCCCCTCGCCCTGGTGCAAGCCACCACCTGGCTCAATGATGTGGGGCAAAGGTCCTCGAAAGTGGGCTCACGATCGATCTGTCTGAGGTCCAACGTGGGCTGCAGGGCCCGTGCAAGAATGGCCTCGGTAATTTCGGGACCGCGGAACTAGGTACCCGCAGGCGCTGAGAATGCAACGATGGGATAAGTCGACAGAAGCTCTTGTGCTGCCGCACAACACCTGTGTAGAACGATAAGAGCATCACAACTGCTCCTTGGTATTGCATAGGCGTATGTCCCATCAGCTTTAGTCATAATCCTCCCGAATTTGACCCAAGCACAGTCATGTCTTCCCGCGTTTTGAGAACATACCACGCGTCTTGGTGTGGTCCAGCATGAGCGTGAGCAAACACGATCACCGCCCACCACGGCCTGCCATGTTCTCCCGCGTCGAATTTCCGTAGCTTATTGTGACATCTGTTTGCTTTCTGTGGTGTGGAGTTGTTCTTACGTGCAGGCAGATCACTTGGATTCTCGACCGAGTGTTTGGGACAGAACATTGACAGTAGTGCTAATCTCGTATTTTCACTGCTTGGAGCCACCAGTTATTATTCTTGCTTAAATGGGGTTGCTAGCCAGCTAAAGCTGCCCCGGGGGCGCCGCGTGTGATTCAGGAATCGGCATCTTCCGTGCCTTGCTATGGAATTGACGACGTCACGACTCGGACTTGCAGGAAATGACCAGTATGTACGAAGCTTAAGTCTGTGCAGACCGTGCGCCAAAGCCTGGGGACACGTCTGGGCAACGTCTGGGAGACATGTATAAAGTTCCGGGTGGTTAAAGGTCTGCCTGTTTTGCCTGTTGTCTTGCATCATCGCGACCACCCTGCCGTCTACGACTCTACGCCAGCCACCACGCATCCCGCCATTTATTTCAACCACCGCCATTCCAATCTCTTCATCCTTGTCAGCTTGCCGTCGCAGTTCTAGTTCCTCGGAGGGAGAACATGTCAACCGTAGACTGGGAGTTGCAAACAACGACATGGTGTTGACAGGCGAGTAGGAAACAGGCAAACACGGAGGAAGTAGTAGGCAGGCAAGCGTGAGAGACTCGCAGGGGTCAGAAGAGATGGAGGTCAAGATCTTGATGGCAGGCGGGTGGGAGGAGCCTAAGGTTGGGCGGGATACAATAGTAACATCGTGCGGCGGCCTTAACAGACTGCCTGGCACTTTCTGAATCCGAGCAACCCGCTGACAGGATGCGAGTCTACATTTAGTTTGCACAGACCGTACGGAGGCAGACTAAATCCCCCATTTTCTGAGATCGTCGAACTCAAGACTCCAAGTTGGAGTCCAAGGACCGTTCACTCGACGAGGGCGAGCAAGACAACGCTTACTTTCTCCTTCCTGGAAAACAAGACTTAGTCATAGTCTGATCGCCCGTATGAGCAAACGAGGGCTGTTCCGGTGACTTGACATACTAAGTACATGTGAGTATTTCTAAAGTATATTCCATGTTCAAGTTAACCGCCACTGGTTGGCTGATCTTATTGGTTATGTAGCTGCTAGCCTCTGCTTTGTGGACATTGGAAATGTACGTGAAACGGTGTGACCAAACTTTGTGGCCATCGTTCAAGTTGGCGGCCACCGGTGGGCTGGTCTGTCGGTACCGGTTGTGCAGTTGCTGGATATCTGCTTTGTGGACATCGGAAATGCATGTGAAACGGTGTGATAGAACTTTGTGGATGAGGAAGTATGGGTAATAGGTACTACGCTTTGGAAGTAATCACACTAATGTCATTCGAACAGACTCACACCACGGACCGTATGACATCAAACGCGAGATTTATGGGATCTCACCACATCCCCAATTGTCCCTGAAGCAACTTGCATATAAGAGCGACTGTCCAGCCAAAGACTCGGAGTTGCTACGCAATTGAAACAACCACACCGTGTACGTTTTCGTTGCGCAATTCCCTTGCTGCTAGGTCTAACAGTGAACGCGCCAGTGCAACCATGGTCCGTTTTGTACTGGCCGTTTCCTTGCTCTTTGCGCTCGGCACGGGAGTTAGTGCAGAATGCGTTGCCTGTCCTAATTGCGATTACGAGCGGATCAGTATCGAGCAAGGAGATGCATGCATCAACTTCTGGACATGCTCAGGCGATACTATCACATGCACTTACCCTTCTGTTGCAAATCCGGGAACGTGGAATAACTGCTCATATAGTGCATCGACCGTAAGTAACTATCTTTCGCAGCAGTGCATGCACACTCACCGATCTTTCGGAAATGCTAGGGTTGGGCGCTTGCAGACGGCCCTAGCGAGATCTGCTTCTCGGGAGCGGGAGCCAATGCGAAATGTGAAGCACCGAATAACCCTTACAACAATGCTATCCCAGGCTGCACCGCTTCATATGGGCTTATCAATGGAACCAATGGTCAGTTGTTGTAAGGATCGAGGAGTTAAAGAGCCTGGTGCAGCACGAGCAACCTCAACCGTGGAGTGCACAAACTGATTTTTGATTGATTGTTTATTGTCCGTTGAGGCGGGGCCCAGGCTATATTAAACAATACCTACACTACGTACCGTATCTATTGATTCCTGTTTTGTACGTGGTCGCGTGATTGCTTTAATGGTTCAAACAAGAGTGCGAGAACGGAGACACCAACTGAAGGCGAATGGTGAGGAATGATAGATCAGCGAGTGAGCTTCGCTATCGTTCCTGAACACTATATGTAGCTTCTTTAAGGCCATCACATCAAGATCAAGCTTAAGGAGTGTGATCAGATTCAAAGTACCAAATATCCAGATATCATACAGGTGCAATCTCATTCGGGGTTGTATGGTTATCATCATACCAATGTCTCTTACCTGTCAACTTCCGATAATGACGCAAGAGTACTACGACATCCGAAGTCAACAAAAAGTTATTGATGCTGAGAACCTATCAACCACCGTCAGAATATGCAACAATTTCACACATATCCGCACGTACGAGAAGCCACGTCCTCAAAGCGGCGACTCCAGCAGCCCGATCTATCATCTTCCAATTATCATTGATGAACGTCTCCGTTCCTTTAAAAAATTCCGCGACAAATTTGTTCCTGACACCCCGTTGGCATATGCATATGTCAGATCTTTGCGGTGAGTTGAACGTACCGATTTAGAAATATCCAGCGGAACCAGAGCGCCTGCATGACCTTGTCTTCATCTCTCACGTTGTCGATCTCGAAGATATCTTCTTCTCTATCGAGGATGACCCATGCGAGGACACCAAACTCATCCAGTGGTAGTGTGTTTAGAAGATCGTATAGTCGAGGACCGCCCACGCGGCATGAATAGATGCCGTCAGACTCGAGTAGGTAAGGATACTGCGCTGCAGGCCCTAGGGGATCAGATTGGGGTGGGGGTGTTGGCCTTCCAGAAATATGAGTGGAAGATGCACGAGACAGCGTGCGAGACGTTACAGAAGTACTGCGTGTAGTCGACAATGCGAGTGAACCGGTACGAAGTATCGGGTTATGCCACTTTGGTTTGATGTCGAGTTTATCTGCGTCAAGAAAGGGTTGAGATGCCACAGAGGTATTTCGTGATGGAGACAGTGTGGTCGCTGGAGTGTATTCGCCATCGTGAAAATTGGATGAAAAGTCGGTTATCTCTGTCGAAGCAGTCCTTGTCGAAGTTGTCGTCATCGCACGTTCATGGGGCAATCTGTGAAGCAGCCATTATCGCTGATGTTCAAGGAGTGGACATAAAATGCTACGGGAAAAAACTTACAGTGGAACATGCCTACTGGCAGGCAACGCAACTGGTAATGCAACATGTCTTGTGAGTGGAAGTTCTACCCACAGCGTATAGTTATCCTGCACAAGTTTGCTGAGCTTTCGATCTTCCGCTGTTGCATATAACCTACCATATCCCACAGGAAACCCACTCCTAAATGGTCCCGCTGGAGATGAGCGTGGAGGATTTCCTGCGCGGGAAATACTCCGTGAAGTTCGCAAAGTGGACATTTCCAATTTGTCATTGTTGTCCGAGTCTCCTGTCGTTTTAGAGATCTATCCTCGGCGATTTGCGCTGGGCACTTGTATATGACCGTAACAGGTTTAGAAGGTGGAATACTGGGAGATGGATCGATTCCAAGGGACTTGCATCGATTGAGAAATCCTTTGCGGAGGTTTCGTAGCATGAAGGGAAGACGGCGTAATTTTGCTAGCCGGATGGTCGTCAGTGAAATGTTTTCCAAAGCCTCGATTAGAGTATCTGAAGGAATATCCGCAGGTGTTTCATCTCTTTCTGTAACGTCAGATTCTGAGGATGATTCGGTTTTCTCGCGAGCAATGTTGTGAGGGAGGATACCAAGGTCCACATATTCCAGTTCCTCGCTATCTTCGCCCGCATGAGCGGGTATCGTAGATTCGTCATTGTCGGATGATTCGCTGCTATGGGAATTCGTGGGGGTGATGGAACGCTGTATCTCGGGTGGAACCTTGGTTGATTTGCGTCCAAATTGAAGCTTTCTAGCTGCTTTCACCTGAACACCCATCTCTCTACATAAACACTGTCAGGCAGTACTTGACGGTTACCATCAGTCAAAACTCACCTGACATTCTCGACAGGATTGCCTGAAGATTTACCCCTGCTCAATTTGGACAACTTTAAACCGACATCGACATAGTTTGCACTCCCGCTGCTATGTTCACTTGAGCTGTCAGCAAGATGGCCCTGGCTGACATCCCTATTTGCACTGGACATACGAGGTACGCGCGAAGATGTCCTGCTGTCTATGCCTTCAAACTTTCGCGCGTATTTTCCAGAAAATGACTCCGCATGTATGTGAAGGCGCATTTGCTGCGATTTAGTGGCACGGCGCTGGTCAACTAAGGAACATTGAGCACGGTGCTGATGATATAATTTGATACGCTTACGTGGATTGTTAATTGTCTGTCTACCAAGGCCCCTGCGTGAGACTAGTCGACATGAGGCGTAAGGTTGTTGAGGATGTGCTTATTGTACGTACCATCTGCCGACGACTTCAAGTTCCTTGCTGCATCAGGTCTGGAAGATCTCTCGGGAAAGAAGGAAGTTGATTGAGACGGAAGCTCCTCTCTTCTCTCTGAGGCAGCAGATGAACCAAGACCTGGAGCGAACCGTCCAGATTTCTGCCCAACCCTATTACGAGCGACAGGACGCCGCTCCACGGGTAGTGGAAAATCTTCAATATTGAAAGTAACTTTCTTTGGAACCCTGGCAGCAACATCATTTGGCTGCAGAGATTCGTGAATAGCTACGATACGAGTAGCATTTGATGAAAGCGATAATGTCATTCATTCATTCATCGTCGGCTAGTTTGAGTCGCTTACCAGGTCGTGATAGATTTGTACTGATTTGTCTCGCGTTCGAATCTTGGTTTCTGGTATGAGCATCCATCCTTGCGTCAGCAGTTGCAGGTTGGACTATTGCTCCGAGACGATCGCCTAGCCTGACATCATTGGTGGCAGTTTTTGCAGCAACAACCCTTGTAGGATTATCGAGCCTTGGATTAGTTGCGGGGGGCCCTGCTGCGATGCGACCGCCCGGCCTGAAGCTGACAGATTTTGTAGCAACGCTGGTACTTGGTCTTGTAGCATTATCAAGTCTCGGATCAGTGACTTTCCGAGCACTCTTGACGATGCGAGGGGGAGGAGGTACTCGATCGCGTGGATCTGACATACTACCATGGACAACAATCCAGCTAATGGTATACTTATCGGTACTATCATATCGTCGCTGTTGCCATGTCACATGTTTATCTTTGTGAGTAAGTGTGACGACGAGTGGCTTCGATAGCACGTGAGTGTGACAATTCGTGTTCTCGCCATGGCCGGCCTTGGCACCAACTTGTCAGTACTGGTGGCAGATGGCGGCATAAGGATTGTCTCAGTAAGTTCTCTTGCGATAGATTGCCTTGGAAAATTACATTCAAATTTGTTTCCGCGGACACAGATATAATTACATAATCAAGTCTATAAGAAGAATTTCCAACCGAGTCGGATGTCCTCGATCTGAGACATCCGCTTAGGGGTAACCAATTCATTCAACGTCAACTGAATTGCCTTCGGGCTCCACCAGAGTTTAGGATGACGTCCTCAAACTCATCGCTGGAATGTATAAAAGGACCACAGATTTTCCCAATTTCCTCAATCAACTCAACTCATCAACTCACTCTCAATTCTAATCAATTCACCATGTTCTCCAAATTCATTAGTGTCGCATTCATCCTCGCTGCAACTTTGGCACCTTCCAGCGCCGTGGTCTTCCCTCGTGACCCTCAGGCTGGTACTCTAACTCCCACTATCACGCCCACCACTATGTCCACGCCCACCACTACGTCGTTGTCTTCCACCACACCCACCACATCCTCCAAGCCTGTCACGCCTACCACCTCCACTACACCTACTTCCACACCTACCACTTCTATCACACCTCCGCCCTCTACCACGTCTTCGCATCCCACTACCATTGTTACGCCTCCCGCTACCATTCCGTCCTCTATCCCGATCACGCCTACTACCTCGTCAACGCCCACGACGTCTGTGAACCCTGCTGCTCAGCCCAGCAAGGCGTCCTCTCCATCCGTGCTGTCAGTGACGTGTAATGGCATCCAGCCATGGCAGGTTAATCTTGCAGTAAGTTGTGTATACGTCTCAGTTTTCCCTTCGCTCACATCTGGCTTAGTATAGCGCAGGCGCTCAGGTTATCTTCAACAACCAGCTGTGGACCGCCAATCAGTGGAGTTATAACAACAACCCTCAGTCTGCCGCCGCCGCGTGGACTCTGAACGGGTTCTGCACCCAACCGATTAGCAACAAAGTCGATTGCACCGGAATTCCTGGTTGGGTCAAGTCCACCGCCTACAATGGGGGTTCCAAAGTAACCTTCAATGGTCAACTCTGGATTGCCACGCAGTGGACCGAGAGTAACAGCCCTGGCGATGCTTCCGGAACTTGGAAGGATTTGGGTGTTTGTAACTAATTTAATGATTTGGACTTTTTAGATGCGTAGTAGTTCGCATCATGGACAGTTATTTATTAGCATTATCTTGCTATGGACATTATTATGGACTTCATTAGATCTTTTGTTTTCTTCATCAATCAATGTTTGATTTTCATGGCTATCCTATGGGCTTTTTTGCGTTAGTGAATTCATAACATCTTTCTTTCGTTCTCAATATCCTTAGTCTTACCGAACAATGACCACGTCCTTACCATCGTCTCTCTTTCGTCGTTCCTGCTTGCAGCAAAATCCCCAAACGACAGTTGTGGCGGGTTTGTTGCACCCCTTAGTGTCAGTGCCTTGGTCATTCTGGCGTCATCTCTTAGTCGACTGGTCGACCGATCAGTGACACTCATTGAATACATTCAATCGAATTGATCGGACTATACTGTACACTCAGCATGACACAGCGGCTCTAGGCCCCTCCAGGATAAGCCCCCTCTGTTTTCAGGTTAGTACGAGTACGACCACTGGCACGTATCTTCGAGTGCATATGGTGGGATGAGCCGACCTCACCTCATCCCATCATATGCACTCGAAGTTCATTGCTGTCGCACTCGTCTCCGCTTGTGTCCTTGTTCCTACTGCGCAGTCACTGTCCCCGGAGACAGCGACAGGCGACGCAAGACCGCCCCCTCTGTCTCGGATCTTGACACATGCCGCGTTTTCTCCTTTAGCGATCGGTATTGTTTTATACCCCGATTTGAATCCGAGCTTTTCAGCTGGGAATACCGAGCTTGTCGAATACGACTGTTTTCCGGTGGATACTCGAGCTCAAGTGTCGAGGATATCGCGCTCCTCTTAACTCGTGTTCTCAATGCAAGATTCACAAGTCGAACGCAGAATTGATTAAAGCTGCACAATTGAACGTATCTTCAATGCGCAAAACGGAAATCAAGTCTTCTGTTCCCAACATCCTTGGTTGTGCTCAGATAGTGTGCACGTTCCTGTCATTCAAAGTCTTTAGTGCCAGAGCCCCTGCTCTTCAGAAAGTCCACAATGAACTCACCTCTGTCGTCATCGCATCCCAAATCTTAGCTCGTTGTCGGTTACGCCAGATGTAGTATGCCTTTGTACCTGGGTACAGAAAACAGATGTTGATGCAGCAAATGATGATGAGGATCTCGTTGCCGTGTCGATCTGCGTGAGAGGACGAGTATGACGATTATGATGTTGCCTGGAAAAGGAAACGAGGAGCGACATACATCTGGGAGCATCGCTGGCTACGTAGATCTGCGCGGATATGATTCCACTCGCTTGCACGAACCTAGCAGAAAGTGAGTATACCTCCAGTTTTAAAATGGGGGAATCCACACATGTTGTATAACGACGCGTTGACTGTTCGACTCGCCACTGCCCCTGCGTTACGAGAGCACCACCCCACCTGAACAAGATATAAGTATTTCGCTCGAGGATCGTTTTAGGTAGTACCTGGATTGGATGGGTATATCTGATAACACAAGGATGTCAAGAATGATTCACTAATGCTGACAAGTTCGGACTGACGGATATGACAACAGACCAGTCACCACAGCCTGAACAGTTGAGTAAACGGCGTATGATGCGCTACGCGAAATGTGTCACTCACAAAAAATACCCAAGGGTTGGGGCTGCTAGGTAATGCATAAAGTGCAACGAGAAAAGGCAACGTCCAGAGGTCTTCCATCATCGATACAATAGAACGCTCGTTGACGAACTCTGAGACAAGCGTGATCACAAACATGGTGATAATTCCGAAAGCCTGAGAGGGTATCGTAAGGAGGTTGGTGTTAAATGTATTGAATCTGTGTTCCTGGCCTTGAGTGTGTCAAACGAAGGAATACTCGTGATACCTACCCGATGTCCCTAAGTAGTAAGGTGAGATATGTCGAGGGGGGAGTGTTCGGGATGCCAAACATGAGGCCGCTACGTTTCATAAGTGTCTAACTCTTACAAAGATAAGGGGAACGGCGTACAGGATGTAAATTGGCCAAAGGTCATAGTCACACATTGCTGTCCACAGGCGACGCAATGTAAGGCCTTCGCGATTGTGCATGTCACCCTGAGGGAGCAAGTCAGTCACAGGGTCTAACGAGACTGGGACATAACTACTTACCTTAGTGGGATCATCCCGAAGCACTCGGTTGACCATAATGATTTCTTCTCTTTCCGTGAACCAACCGTTTGGCCGGAACCATGTCTTGGTCTGCGTTGGCGACGCAGGCATGCGGAAAAAAGATAAAATTCCTATAAGGAGAGTCAGGGTTCCCCTGTGAGAGGGTCGAGTTGGCGCGTCTTATGTCATTGGAAAGAAATGGGCGTACTCAATCATGAACAGCCATCTTGGATGAAGTCAGGTTTTTGCGAAATGAGAATCAAACGTTTACTAACCGCCATCCAGCAGCGCCAGCCACACCATCCATATGAAGTGTGCCATAGGCTATAAAACTAGCGGTGATGGCGCAAAGGTTCATGGTCATCCAGAACAGTGCGAGGCGGACGGGTAGCTCCGTCTTCGTGTAAAAATCTGTCCGAAAGGTCAGCAATATAAGACGAGGTAGAAGGAAGTAACATACAAGATAGATATAATATCAGGTCAGGGATATAGCTGTGGAATATAAACGAAGTATACTCGAGCGCACGCAGAATTGGACGTACCCGCCTTGCAAAACGCTGAATTGACTAGTCAGTAAAAGAAGCTTTGGGATAGTAATTACATGATATTACCCAAGAAGCGCTCGGCAGACCAAGAAGGAGGCCCTACCTGTCAACCAGAATTGTGACAGAGACACGAAACCTATGGCCTATCGATAAGAACGGTTTGATACAGTTGCTCTGTTACATACTCCAAAGGCACATCTGCGTTGGTATCCAGCGATCTGGTCCAATCTTCCATACGACCATAAGTCACACGAAACCATTTACAGTGAACGCACGTACTCGCTTCGAGACAAGCTGTGACGGTAGTTCTGCGCATAAAAATGCCAACTTGAATACAGTATTTCCGAGGTTGAAGTCTGGATGACCAAGTTAGGATATTATTCAGATGGCAATCAAAAAAACTTGCCGTCTGTAGTCAATTCAAGATCTTGCAAAAAAGAGCCCGAGTTTGCCTGATTGATGTTGCTCCTGTCCAAGTTCAAGGCGGCAAATCCTATAGCTGCTGTAATCATAATCTTCCAATCCAACTTGCGGACCAGGGCCTTCCTCCCACTTAACATGAGTTAAATCACGATAAGTATAAAAACTTACCTTTTCCTCGCTGTATGTCCAACGAGCGGTTGGATCGAATCTGTGGATATTCTCGTAATCCTTCTTGGGCCAATAGTGCGGGGCAAGGTCAGGGTCATCAAAAACAGAGCGTTTAGTCGCAGTTGCATCAGGGTCAGGGTGGACAATCTGCTTTCGACGAAAGATGGCCGTTGTCCACGAGAATTGTTCCTCTGCCTCATCCACCAGGTCATCAGTGGGTAAAGACGAACTTCTTTTCTCAACGGAAGACAGTAGAGAGACGGACCGACGAAGGCCGTCCGTCATCGGGGTTTGCTGCTCCGGGGTAGTACTCACAGAGTTCGTCATCTCGATGAGGAAAAGGAACGAGTATAGAGGAAGAAGAATCGCAATAAAAGTACTCAGGACAGGCACGGCTGAGCCACCAACTATCTCCACTCGCATCATGTAACGCGGAATTGTGCGAGGGACATTACATTCCTGATCAATCCTGTTCTAACAATAGGCAGAACTTCTATGTGGTGGACCTGCGAATTTGTTATCGGTTGGAACGGAAATGCAGCGCATCCGCGGAGCGCTCGCCACATATTGGAATCGGTACTCGCAGAAACAGCATGTTTATCCTACTGTACTCAACGAGCTGCTTGTCGTTTACGTTCAGTGGATCCCCACGTCCTAACGTGGCTGCACACCGACAGGGATGTGACTAAAGATGTCATGATGCATATGGTGTGCGACATAAAGTGGCAGAGGTAAGTTGAACTATGTGCTCACCGGACATCACGCATCATCACGCATGAATTGTGATATCTGACGCAACCATCTAGCGGCGATTGTAGCCCGGTCGCCATAAAGTCGCAGTGACTGTAATGATAAGGACTCTTATAGGCTATTAGTATTAGTTAGCCATAGGTTAAGTTAGTACTTACGGTGGGAAACAGCGAGTGTTGTTGGTTGGCGGTAACTAGACTGCATTACAGAGCTGGCAGCTTGAATTAGACTGATCAGGAAACAGCAAGTCCTGGCCTTGTTCCAGCTACAAGCACAAATGACCCGGGTTGTCATTCTCCCAACATTTGATAAGCCTGAAGTAGCGAAGGCAGCGCGAGGAACCACGTGGCTTACCAATTTCGGTCCCAGGCATTAAGGTGCTGTTGTGCTCATCCGCCAGCACGGCCTTTCCAGTCAGTGCAGCAATGAAGTTCACAAAACCCGCCTGGGTTATGCACAAGGGTGAGTGTTGAACCTGAAATGTGAGGAATATTTGCTTCTTAATCATCTTCTGCCATACAGATAGTTCTAAAACCGACCATGACACGAAGCGCCTTTCCATATTTTCCGTCCATGTTCATCCTGATGGTTCGCGCATAGCCACAGGAGGATTAGATGCCAAAATTCGTATTTGGAGCACGAAACCCATTCTCAACCATGCATCCGAAACGAGCAATCGACCACCAAAGTCTTTGTGTACATTGAGTATGCATACAGGTCCCGTCTTGACGATTAGGTGGGCACATTCTGGGAGGTGGCTTGCAAGTGGTAGCGACGATGAGATTGTGATGATATGGGATCTTGATCCGTGAGTTTGGTATATGATTTTGATGTGCTTCTGAAATATCCATCTGCGCTTCTCTCCTTCAAATACAGGTCGGGTAGGGGCAAAGTCTTTGGTTCCAACGAAGTCAATGTAGAAGGATGGAAACCAATGAAACGACTTCCAGGCCACGAAAGCGGTGAATCGGGTTTGCTCAGTTGTATTTTTCTTTGCATTAAACAATTGTCAGACGTTACCGACCTAGCATGGGCGCCGGAGGATCGTTACCTCGCCTCAGTTGGCCTTGATTCCGTCGTATTAGTCTGGTGTGGATATACCCTGGGTGAGCTGGATTTGTACTCTTGCTTGCACTGTCCGCAGCTGTCGGTTTATTCCACACTTCAGTAACTGGTGCTTCCAAACGTCTTCGAGCATTTATTTTTAGCTTCAGTAGTTCAGCGCCAGAGCTTCATTACTTACACTACTTTCAGAACGTCTTAGAAAGCTGGATCAACACCAAGGATTTGTCAAAGGCGTTTGTTGGGATCCTGTGGGCGAATTTATGGCCACTCAGTCCGACGACAAGTCTGTGAAAATTTGGAGAACGACCGATTGGCAACTCGAGGCAGAAATCAGAAAACCCTTCGAGGACTCTCCTGGCAGCACATTTTTCCGCCGTCTTAGGCAAGTGCCACCGGTCACATTCATTAAATCGTTTTCTTACAGAGTTTTGCAGCTGGTCGCCTGATGGTGCTCACATCACTGCTTCGAATGCAACGAACAACAAAGGCTTCGTTTTCATTGCAGCAGTCATAACTCGTGGCACATGGACTTCTGAGATCAGTCTGGTTGGCCATGAGAATACAGTCGAGGTTGCGGTATGTGCTGATCATCTTGAAAGTGTTACCATTCTCATGCACGTTACAGGCCTATAATCCTCATATTTTTCTCCGAAATCCCGCGTCACCTATAGCTACATCCAACATATGCTCTGTAGTTGCTCTTGGCGCGGATGACAGATCCATATCCATCTGGCAGACAAAATCTGCACGACCTCTCATTGTCGCGCGCGAAGTTTTTGAACGACAGATCATGGATCTCAGCTGGTAAGCCTCTCCTGACCTTTGTCAAGAATCTGACCAATTTTTTCTGAAGGTCCTGGGATGGTCTGACTCTCTATGCCGCATCCTCGGACGGAACGATAGCCGTTTTCCATTTTGACCCTGAAGAATTGGAAGGCATTGCTCCTCATTCTGCTCAAGAGCAATATTTACACAAGTTTGGCTTTGTACCGCCACCAACTCCAGAAGGATTCTCGCACGGCACCCACAGTACAAATGCTGCTTCAGCATCGAGGATCACGCCACCGCCTTCCCCAAACCGTGCCCAGTCGCAATCGCAATCTGGTTTTGGTACATCGAATGGGATTAATGGTGCTGAGCACATCAACAAGCTCGTTGCAAAGAAGAGCAATAAGAAGAGAGTACAACCCGTACTTATGTCGTCCGTGCCTTCTGCATCGACATCACGCTCAGTCCTAGTATCAACTTCTGCGTTACCGCCTTCAGCAGGCCTCGGATCGCGTGCATTCCAAGTGCCAGAGATTCCCCGATCACGGCAGGCATCACATTCTGCATCACCCGTGCCAAGCCCACGAACTTACGACGCTGATATTGAGATGGGAGGACCGATGGATATGGATGTTCCTATCGATGCGCTCGACACGAGTATGTCAAGTGCAAACAAGGGCAAACGGAAAGCGTCAGTCCTTGATACACCCGAAGATCGGCCGTCTAAGCCGCGTACCCTTGGTGGCGATCGACCAAGGGAAACAGTCGCAGTGCGAGAAATCACATCGACTAGTTTAGTCTCGACCCGCCCGCATCTATTTGAGGGTGCAAATCTGCTACCTGTCCCTCCGCTGTTGACATTCTTGAGTGCCAATGTGGAGGGAAGCGACTTTGTCTTTGAGGCCCGAAATTCAGAAGGAGATGGTTCGTAAGATCTTCGACTCGTCCTGGTTTAGCTGATGTTCCTTGCAGGGGCCACGGAAGTCACATTTGCTGATGGAAAGCAGACATTATGGCTGGACTATTTACCATCTCCCGTGCTTGCGTTGACCGCGTCCACAACGTTTTGTGCGGCTGCTTCGCAAGACGGTTCTGTCAACGTGTATTCACACACAGGTCGCAGGTTTGTGGGAAAACAGAAGTTTCATCACTGTCTTAATCATGTTTGGCAGATTGATGGCGACTTTAAGCTTTGGGTCACCTTGCGCGATGATACACGGCTGCAAGTTGGCATTGATGATACTCACAGCTTCTGGTCAGCTGACCTCGATGTAAGTTGCACGACTTTCTTTATTCCATAGTGCTTACTCTGCTTAGAAATGTGAAGAATGTTGCATCCTTCTTTCCACCTACATCCGTTACGCCCCTCCTCTCCTCTTCGCCAAATTGCACGATATTGTCTGCCACTGTTCGACATAACGGCGCACCAATGATTCATTGCTCTTCCGGTATCGCGTATACTTACGATGCCCAACTTTTCTCCTGGACAAAACTAAGTGAGCGCTGGTGGGCAGAGGGCTCTGATGTATGGCAAGGTCGTCAACGAGCGAACAAAGACAAAGATGTTGTAGCCTCCATTGAGGGTGCAATAGGCAGCACGAATATCTCGGCACCTCACAAAGAGCGCCCCACATGGTGGAATACGGCGCTCACACTCGGTCATCTGGAGAGCAAGTTACATGCGGCCAAAGCCCTCGATAGTGGACTTGAATATAAGCAAGCACTTCTGATTTATGCAAGAAAACTAGCAGATGAGGGCTTCAGAGCGAAGGCAGAGGAACTCATCAAGGAGCTTTTCGGCCCCATATTTTGGTAGATTGCATATCCTTGCAAGTTTTGACATGAATTGCTCACTGTTCATGTAGGCGACCTGGTGGAAGGGACGACTCTTGGACCCCTGTTGTGGCAGGCATGGCTAAGCGTGATCTTTTGCGTGAAGTATTGTCGGTCTTTGGTCAGTCAATTTGTCTCAACTATCCTTAGATTACTGAACTTCTATACAGTTCGAAGCAAGACCCTTACCAAATTAGCATTGGACTGGCAAGACACTCTCAAGAAGGCGTCGAGCGATGATCAGCTATGACGATGCTTCTAAAACTTTTGGCTTTGATCGTGATTCAACTTTGCCATTGGACGGACTGTTTGTTTAATTAACAGATTTATTGTACGCTTCACTAGAGAATATTTATGTGATGGGGATCTTTGGCTCTGCGACTCGCAATATGCAGTTCCCGACTCACCCGCTCTTATACGTAGGAGATGCAGCAAACGTTCTGAAGTTCAAAACAACTGGAGTGTTTCGGGTACTGTAGCAGTGATGTCATTGCGGAATTTCCCACGAGGAGTGCCCCGAAATACCCAGTGATGTCACATCACTTTGAATCCGCACAACCATGAGCAAATCCGATGTTGTTATTCGAGAGGTCAGTTGTTGAAATCCTACCTATGCGCAGATAATGTTCTCATCGAGTTACTCTATAGGTCGCAAAAGATGTCTGGATCTTCTCCAGGTAGGGGCTCGAATCCATATGATCACTCTGCCAACCCCTGCTATAGTATCTCATGTTGACTCAATAGACCTTTTGCGCGATTCGGAATAATCCAGATGGGAGGGCGGTCCACTGCTATCAAATTGCGACAGGGAGGCGTTTGGGTACTTGCATCGACACCACTGACACAAGATACGCGTAATAAGATAGATGAACTCGGCGAAGTCAAGTGAGCATCATTCAGTCTTGTCCATGCTGTCTTACATCTAAATCTCCAAGATACATCATAGGTGCTGATGCTGTTCACCACATGTTTCTTGGTTCGTTCATTCTCTGCAGAATTACTGACGTCATCAAGGTTCTGTCTGACCAATTACCACAGGAGAGTTTAAAAGGGCTTATCCCAACGCGAAGTTAATAGGCGTTGAAGATGCCATAAAGAATATGAGCGACAAAGACCTCCAATTTGATGGTTGTATGTCATTGCCGTTTCTTTTTTCTTTAGTCATTGAAGTTAAATTTCAGTGTGGGGTCGTGACCTTCCCAGCAGAAACTATGGTTTTGAGGACGAGGTAAGGCATAATTATTTTTATTGGCACAAAGTGATATATCATACATACAGATTAAGCATTGGTACGTGCTGGTATGTTCACTAGGGCTGCTAACTTAATGCTTTGCAGCTATTTTTCAGGTTTTAGGAATAAAGACGTGGCTTTTTTGCATATGCCATCAAAGTCACTTATTGAAGCAGACTTACTTCTAAATCTACCAGCTAATGAACAAGTCGAGTACCTTCCTTTACTGTTCATATGTATTGTCTTAATATCTCAATCAGTATTCAAAATCATCCTCTTCGCCCCGTATGAATATCAAGCCGGACTCGTGGATCCACAGGGCCATCATCAATAACTCAACGGTTGACGCTAAGTTTGTATATCGCTTGTCATTTCTGCTTTGACACTAACGCGTACGCAGAGCTATGCGTCGCGATGCAACGACAGTTGCTAATTGGGATTTCGATCGAATTATTCCTTGCCACGGAGTGAGAAAGACTGTCGTAAGAATTTGTGTGACGACTGACTATCACTTTGCAGGATGTAATCGAGACCGACGGCAATAAGATGTGGAGAACCTTGTATGATGCATTCCTCAACTGATAATCATAGCTTGCTTGTTTGGTTTGTATGTATGGAAGTGATAATGATGTCTTCGCAGTCTTGGCCAGCAAAATTCCACAGCATATTCAGTCTCTCATCCTATCAACCGCCATTCGGTTTCGCTTCAAATTGCCAGCCTTTGAACGCCGTTACGACGACACTCACGTACTGACAATTGAGCAAACAGTTCTTCTCAAGGGATTACTCGAGAACGATCGCTATTGTGATGCACTGTGCCTGGCATATCATATCACCCATCGTCAGGTGCTTGTTCAAGATTCTCTGACAAGACGCACCTAGTTCTCGTAGACATATTCTACTGAAACAAGAGGGTTCGTTCAGAAAATCCACAGTATTTCGCTCACAGCCTATCTACAAGCAGTCGTATGGGCTATTGATGTCACGAGCTGAATCTTCCGTGGATCTTCTCCCATCAGGGTTGCATGTTAGTGTGACCGTCAAGGATTGGTCGTTCAGCTCACAAATTCGCTTATTCTCAGTACTTATTTCCAGACTAGTGATTTCGACTTAAGCTGGACGCGAGCGTATCCCAGACGTGATCATTTGAGGCTGGTACGTTGCTCAACCGCTTCTGTGCGGACGTGCGCTCGGATGCCGGACCTGTCAATGCCACACTTAAGTTCACGAATCGGTTGCAAAGAACGCTCTTCCATTTTATTCCTTAGGCCCTGGCATCCTGGATGATCGATCATCGATGCATCGATGATCTCCAATATTGATCTGCACGCCTAAGTTGTGTTTTCTACTCTATCATTGTCACATTAAGTCTCGACTCGACTCTGGACTTCATTTTGAAAAAAATTGCTCCAAAGTAACGGCATAATCACAGTGAGCTGGTTGGACCACTTTCTACTCTATATGATACGTAGCACGTTGTTTCCGCATGGCAGCCTCAGGTGATCTCCCTTGATCGTTTTTTTTGAAACCATCTCACTTTCTTAGATGGCATCCTGTTCCTGCTGATTGGGTACTCTAGTATGTACGACATATCTGTTGTTAAATGGCTATCGTTATAGCTTGAAGCTGAAAGAGGGCTTCTACTCTTAACTTATGAATTCGAAGTCACGCCAAATAGGCATGCTTCGTAGCTTGACCCACGCTTTTAGAAGGGTCCGCCTTCGCCGCTAACATGTGCCAAAGTCGTGTGCACGCAAACGTTTCTATGTATAAGACGTGGTGGAATAGCAGACTCCGCACAATTTCCATTCAACCCTCCTTATTTCAGCACTATGCCATCTTGTCCATTATGCCCGCCGCCTGGTGCCCAGGCAGCCTCCTTAACTGAATTAGAAGCGGTGAGTAGTAGAATTTGCTTCGAGTAATTTGATTGATGTACTGATCGTCTTCGCTTGCATCAAGCACATCAAAATGAAGCATGTAGTAGCGGGAATAAGTTGTAAATTTTGCCAGAAGGACCTCAAGAATAATGCTGCGTTAATTCAACATCTCGCATCTAAGAAGCACCACAAGTGCAAAGCGGGATGTCCTTTGACATTTATGACAACCTCCGAGCTCAGCACGCACATCAGGGTGGATCACAACGCAGGACCTAAAGACCCTCCTGCAGCTGCCAGTAAAGCCAAAGCCACAATCCCAGCCACGTTCCCCTGTGGCCCCTGTGGCATGGACTTTGTCAGTCCCGAAGCGCTCCAGCACCACATGAGCGTAGATCATGCACCTAAAAACCCATGTCCATCTTGTTATCAGAGCTTCTCCTCATCTGGCGCTCTTGAAGAACACCAGTCGATCAGTCATCCTGTGCCCAAAGTACAACCCAGCGTTTATTTGGGATGTTCCATGTGCAAGCAGACATTTGCCTCCGCAGACGAATTGTATGGTCATATTCGCGTCGCCCATCCTCTCGAAACATCGGCCAAGAAAGTGTATCCTTGCCTTTCATGCCACCACACGTTCTCAAAGATGTCTAAGCTTACTGCCCACAGTGAAACTGCTCACCCCTCCGGGCCTGTTTGTGCTATTTGTGGGCACAAATGCCCGTCTCAACATGTTCTTGATGATCATGTCGCTGCAGTGCATACATCCGCACTCAGCAACTGCGGGGTATGCAATGTGGCGTTTAGCTCCGAAGAAGGGCTTTACCGCCACTACTTGCAGTCTTCAAAAGATGCCCACCCGAAATGTGTCGAGTGTGATCTTGGATTCAAAAACGACGCAGTATATGCAACGGCATGTTTTCTTGATCGCGCTTTGTTGTGGTCTCTCACTCTCAAACCTGTATTTCCAGCATCGCCAAACATCCCACCCAGAGCCGCCCCGCCCTGTTTCTCCACCAACTTCCTATCGTTGTCCTTTGTGCAACAACGTCTTCAAGCTTCAGTTAGCATTGGATGACCACACGGCCGCGAAACACTCTTTTCATTGTCTTTTGTGCAACGATGTCTTCAGGCTTCAATCGGCATTGGATGACCACACGACCGCGAAACACTCTTATCATTGTCCTTTGTGCAACGATGTCTTCAAGCTTCAGTCGGCATTGGATGACCACACTGCCGCGAAACACTCTTTTCACTGTGCTTTGTGCAACAATGTCTTCAAGCTTCAGTCAGCATTGGATGACCACACGGTCGCGAAACACTCTTTTGCCTGCGGAATGTGCGAATTCGTTTGTCCGGAGGAGGAAGTTCTCAGAGAGCACATCGCCTCGGCGCACTCGTGCCCCATTTGTCATGAGGGCATCTTCGCCAACATAGACCTTTTAAACGAGCACCTCGCGGACCACGCTGCTCCCTATCGTTGTGAAGTCTGCCAAACGAGGTACGCCGAGGAAGAAGGCCTACGTCAGCACTACAAAGAGTCCCCAGATGTCATACATCCGTCTTGTACGAGATGTGACTTGGGTTTTCAGGATGAAGGCGAATACCATAATGTATTGTCCCCTCTTTTCGTGATATATCTGTGAAGATCTTTCATTCATGTTGCGTTCAGCACACAGAAATGATTCACCCTCAGGTATCCTGTCACCTGTGTGAAGGAGCATTATTTGATCCTGGGGAGCTTTCTATGCACTACTTGACATCTCGCAACCATCCCGTGTGCGACAGATGTCAAGTCGGATTCAGTGATCAAGCTGAATTTGCTATGGTGGGTGAGTCCCGTTATCGCTGATGCCTTGACTCAAACCGCCGTGCAGCACGGCGCGACAGAACATCCAGAGGCATACTGCCACCTATGCCAGTGGCAGTTTGAGTGCTCCGAGTCGTTGCAGAATCACATCCGACACTTCGTAGCACACCCCAAGTGCATGGACTGTGAGCTGAGATTCGCAGATGCGGATGCCTATCAACACGTTGGTTTTCTTTTCTGGTTCATCGAGTAATGCTCAAATGTGTTCCATAGCATCTGTTTGTCGTGCACAGGCCACGCAGTAGTGAGCCTGTAACAAGGCAAGATTTCGACCCCGATGCTTTGGATAACGGCGACGGAATAGTTCATTCCGAAAAACACTTTTTTAGTCCCTTTTCTCCCAGTCGAGTCGACTCGACATGGGGTTTTTCTGTTGATCGTGACCTCCCCTATGCCCCGTCCATCCCTTTGCCTCCGAGTGCCAGTGGATACTCCAGCCCTCTGTCCCAGAGGGTTCTGACACGTTCAAGCGTGGGGTCGCGGTCGTCCTCCAGGACGCTTTCGCCGCCTCCGATCTGTGGCATCAAAGTCTCACAGCTGGAGACTGGGCATACCATGGATCATTACGAGTCCCCAGACTTTGAGCACTCACCGCTTTCCAATATACCTGCAGTTGGTACACCGTTGATATCAAGCACAGACTTCCGTAGCCCCTTCAGTCCGCGCCCGGACCCTCCAGCACTCTTTCCTTCTCAGGAGCTGAATGGCGCCAGTCACAGCGATCAAGAATCTACTGCTTCTGCGAGGTCACCTGAGACAAACTCTCCGGTGATAAAACTTCCCGAAAACGGCGCATCGCCGATGTCGAGCTCTGGGTGGTCCACATTAAGTGGCGAGGATGCGTCGAGGATGTCAGACAAATCGGATGACTCACCAAGTCATCGACCGATGGGCCTTGGTGTGCCTATGCTTCGCTTGCAAGTACCTGTGCCTAACGGGGGTTCTCAGACAGCCAGGTATGATGACCAAATGAAACGCTACTTCCGAATCTCAATCTTGTTGCAGTATTTTGGCGACGCCAAGCTCCATTTCACCTGAGTCTGCGGGCATTGATATTTCTGCGAATGTGACCCCCGACTACTTGCGGGAAGCTCGTGCATACCTTGCTGTGACTCATCCAGGACAGGCACCTTCAACTGTGAATCATGTTCATAGCCCGGCCATGACATCTCCCAGTTTGACTTCAATCGGCCTCACCACAGCCTCTCGCGAGCGACGCCGTGAAGTACGATTTGAGGATAGTATTATGTCGGAGCCGTTGTGGGAAAACCGATCATCTGATTCGACCGATTCCTCCTTCGATCCTCCTGTGCTTCAAGGCAGGCGAAAATATGGCGTACAAAAGAAATCAGGTTAGTAACGCTGTTTTTTCATAGATTTAGAGTTGACAATGAGCACAGGTGCCAGTAAACTTCCTCGTTTTGCACCACTCAAACCGGGAAGAGTTGCGGGAAGGAACGGGATCAATCATTTAACGAATGGCACAAGTTCTCTCTCTCCCTATCACTGCAGGATTTGTCGACGGGAGACATGCGAGGATCTGACGACGACGACTTGTGGGCACCTGTTCTGCAACGCGTGAGTACAATCGATACCGGTCTTGGACTTGGACTAACAGGAATTCGTAGGTGCATCACAGATGCGGTGATACGAGACTCGCGATGTCCCGTGTGTAGGGATGCGGTTTTGCTTTACTGTTTGTTCCGCATCGACACCACCGCGACCTGCCATGACTGAGAGTGACTGATGATGAGTAGTCGATCTATGTAGTATTCGGGTCTTGCCTGTCTGTCGTGCATTGTCGTGGAGTACCGATTTCGACGCTGGTAGTCATTCTATAAAATCTGTCTCGCAATTTCCAACGTGACATTGCGTGACTACCTGTGACGACTGCCGGTACCCTCTGCACTCACATCAGCCTCAAACATCAACTCGTATTGCGTGTGGGCACATGAAGAGTGAGTTCAGGGCAGAAAAGACTCAAATCTGAAGCAAAGTATGCATTGCCACTAGTGCTTAGGAGACTGAGTCACGAGTATACGTCACGGTCAGACGTGGCGCAGCCGCAAGCACTCGGCTCCGGCCGAGTGCGAGCGTTAAACCGATTGACAACAGTTAATACCAGCGTGATACGGACTGACAGCAATTCGAGAGTCGTGACACACTTCTCTCTCCCATTGTCCGAGAGAACTGTCTCGCGTATACCCATATTTTCCCTTCGTCGGCAACTGCAGCATCTTCAATAATAATCAGGCCTGGTGGTGGTGTGACAGGAATTTCAACAGTGTCGACGGTCCATCCTCCCAATCTGCTGCTACCACCATGCCTGTGTGCAAATCTTGTGACCGTTCTTTTGTGACCAGAAGTGCTCTCCGTATGGTGCGAAGCACTTTGCATCTGCTTCAGCGTCTGATTCTCAACCGCTCATCTAGCACAGCGAGTCGAAGCACGGGTTTGAGTGCACTCACTGCGACCGTGTGTTCAAGACTTCAGACGGAAGAGACTCGCATGATAGAACGAAGCATTGCTTTTCTTGCGGCATTTGCGATCGACAATTTAACTCTGAAGAAGCCTTGGACAAACATACGGAGGCTAAGCATTGCTTCCCTTGCGGCATCTGCAACCGACAATTTAGCTCCGAAGAAGCCTTGGATCAACATAGGGATGCTAAGCATTGCTTCCCTTGCAGCATTTGCGATCGACAATTTAGCTCTGAAGAAGCCTTGGATCAACATACGGAGGCTAAGCATTGCTTCCCTTGCGGCATTTGCGATCGACAATTTAGCTGAGAGCTAAGCATCCCAGATACAATGCACATACTGCGATAAAGAATTTACGTCCGATGCAGCCCGTATGCAGCATCAGAATGCAAAGCATGGATCCCGCCCCCGTACCGTTTATGCACCTTCGTATCTATCGCCACCATACTCCCAGGCTGAGACTGCTCCTGTAGAGCAGCCTAGTGCATCCATATTCGGTGCTTCATTCACGCAGAAACCCACCCCAGAACATCCTGATGATAAAGATGTCTTGATGAAGCGGTCACCGAAGGTGGAGGTCGCTGCACCCAACCCCGTGGCGAATTTCGCATGTGGAACCTGTGGAAAACCTGTCGCAACGATCGTAGCTCTGGAGGCCCACGAGTTGCAGCATAGAGTCGATTCATGTGCTTGTACAATCTGCAAGAGAGCTGATGGGACTTGCAATTGCAATATTTGCAACCGCACCAACACCTCGACAGTATCGGTGAATGAGAATCTTCCTGATCGTGTTGTGACTGGCGAGCCCGAAGAAACTACGCTTTCCGCGGACTCGCTTGGGGCTATCGAACCCAAGGTAGTCGAGGACTCTTTGGTTGGGTCCTGTGATTTAGTCATGGCCCTGGAATCCCAAGGAGCCACCGATCTATCAGTTGATCGTAGTGTTCCAGCCCAGGGCATGTACTTGCAGGATCAACAATCCTTGATGGAATTGGAACGCGAAGTAGTGCGCAGAGCACTCGACTCCCGCCCAGACACCCTCACCCTCACATCACGAGCACCACAGTCTTGATGATCCAACATGTGCTTCTGATGTTGCTATGAACTTAACCGAGGAATCTAACGTTATCAACCCCCAATCGGGTTTTGCATCCATGGAATGCGACACCATTCCTTGTCATCCGAATGTGCTAGAGCAAGTAAGATTGACGACTCCAATTCTTTCGAGACTAATGCTAATGCATTCTCCGTGTCTTCTTTGGTTGCATAGCATTCCGTACTCGATGCTCACGCCATCATACAAGAGTCGGCAGTCTATGAACACATGGGTTCAAGCCAACCTGACTTTTCCCTTGAGTTGACTTATCCGGAAAGCCAAGATCACAACATGGTTCGTTTAGTTTTGGGTGTTGGTATACGATCTCTGAGATGTCTTTGTCAGTCCCCTCCCGAGATATCCAACGACCACCCGACAGTTCTCGACATAGACATGAGCCACGAGCAGGTCGATAACGCTCTAGAGGGTGGACCCCCTCGTTCCTGGATTGGAACCTGATTTCACGTCTTCGTCACACTCGACAGAATCCCCTGCAAATAGCATACTTGTACCCGTGCAAATGCGCTCTCCCCATGTTCGCATCTCTGAGCTGCAGCCTCTCGCTGAGTCAGGCGAGCCTTTCGTTCGCAACCTTGTTCCTTCTCCGACCCCATCTGAGCATGGTAGCTGTGGGTCGCGTAGAGTTACTCAGGATGATCACTTGCATTCCGAAAGCCGTCCTGTACACTCTCCAATGACTTCCGAAGATTCCGCCAGTTACTTCTCCGACGCCGATCGCTCCTCGACTCCATCAAGCCCTCTTTCTGACCACTCCATTGTTTTCGTATCTGCGAGCTCCATACCCGAGTATGTTAGAGAGAACCGTGCATATCTGGTTGCAACAAGCGCTCCGTCCCAACCTTCCTCACCAGCGTCTAGCTGTGTCCGATTACCCTCAGTGGTCACTTCGTTGGAGTCTCTGCCAGATCAAAATGATCATGCTGAGGTGCCCTCTGCCGCCACGAACTGGCCAATCTCCTCTTTACTGCAGAATTTGTCTTCGAGATCCTTGCGATGATCCAACTGCGACGATGTGTGGCCATATCTTTTGTAACAGGTTTGTGATTCGGTTACTCGTTTGCATTTCAACGTATTGAAACGCGTTTACTCAAGGTGCATCATTGATACTGTGATGGCTAGGTCTGCGTGCCCGGTCTGCACCGCTCCCACGTTACTCTACTGTCTTTTCCGCCTTGATGTGTAAGGAATCGTTATTCTTCTAAAGCGTAACACCTGTCTTGCTTTCGACATGCATACCAATGACTTTGAACACGAACCAAAGATCACATTGTATTTTAGAAGTCTTGAATCATTACAAGTTTTCCTATTCAAGTGGCGTTCGTTTATTATCATAGGTGAGTATACTTGTCAAATCTGCGTGTCGTTAATTCATCGCAGCACTTGTTCAACGTCGCATGGGAAATTCCATTGCAAACTTATTTACTCCGATAGTGTCACCGATATATTTCGCTGTTGAAAGCCGAAGTGCCAGTCCGAATACTTGTCTAAACGAGATGGAAACAAGAACTTCGGAGTCGATATTTGTTTTCGACTTAACGCCGCATGCTCCATGCTTTGTCGAAATTCGTCATGTCTATTTATATGAATGGCCCCTAATCTCGTAGAAGCGAAGTGCTTCCTCGCGGGAGGATCACATTATGGTAGCTGCAAGCCCACGTCGCCCTGCCGAGAAGCCTGTCATACCTAGACTACAGTCCTTTAGGCCCCCGTCCTCCTGGTTTCAGGGACTGCCCATACTCTTGGGCTCAGTTTGCGAAAGATGATTCATACGTCTCACAGCAATATACTTGCCCATGCTCATCCCCAGCCCTGAAACGCCGTGTGTACCAAATCGTACGATGTCATTTCGCAAGTCTCCACTCCTGAGCATAATCTCCGATAGTAGTGTTGTGGGGCAGAACTATTATGAGCCAATTCTGCCGGTTCGGTAGAACTCGAGAGAACAGTGAGGTACCTATGTATCATATTGGGCTGGCTTCCATTCAACTGCCGGCACCAAGTCCCTCGTCGACACGTGCGTGGGCCTCTTCTCTTCTAATACTTCCGAGTCCGTATCGCTCGCATCGTTCTTTCCCGTTACAGATCGTCTTCTGGTCGAGATGAACTCAGCGTTGAAGCGAGATAGATTTTCAGGGTGGGGATCGGAGCTGAGACTGTTGCGTGCTTGGTATTAAAACTGGCTTTATGGACCTCCAGACTCGGACATCGTAGAGAGCCTGTAGCACATCTGCTTGGCAGTACCAGTTCTACCCACGCCACTACCTAACGGTTCTCCGACAAGTCCCAAGGATATCTCGGTCGTGCGTGTTGCGGGGTACCATCAGAGCAAGATCTTATCTGATAATCGGCCGATGGTGGTATATAAACATCCGAACACCCGCGTAATCAGACAATGATATTACAACATCCGCTGTGCTGGTATGTCTGCCCTGTGGTGTTCATGGCCCCTTACATTGCTTCATGGATGGAACATGTAGTTGTGCGATTGCGAAAATCGCCCAGATCTAGAATGTCATCGACATGAATAGAAAAGCATCGACTGACCAATAGCAAAAACCTGCCTTCGCGTATGACGCCACAGCCACAGCTACCGAACCGGCGCTGGTGATTCATGTGCTTTAAATTATTAATTATTACTGTCGTTGTTATCCCAGCTTTACCTTGGCAGAATGCACCTGACTCGTTGCTTTACAAGCAGACTTTTCAATTGCACGGCATGTGCCTGATATCCATCGATTGTATTCATCAATATCTACTACAAAAAACTTGAACACGGCGTCCGAAGATTTAACTGCCAGTCTGCCACGTCAAACGTCACCGTGGCGTCCTGACTTGTCAGCATGGAGGATGATGCCATTGATGGTGAAACAGGAATGAAGTACGAAGGAGACCAAAGAAGGAACATGCATGCGGGCGGCGGGGATACATACGCTCGGTGATGGCTGTGACATTGGGTGACTTCAGATAATCCATATACTGGAGTGCGAAAACAAATTTGAGATCAAGTCTGTACAAAACACTCGACCAATTGATAATATGGAATACGGACCGTGTCCATCACATGGATGGTTTGACAATTCAATTCCAGAAGAACGAAGCAGAGTTGCTAGGAAGAAGCTGTGACCGCTGTCTTACTTGGTGTTGAGCTCGCGCGCCAAGACCGTCTTGAAAATCACAGTCTACATCTTTGCCGTCCACAGCAAGACGTCTTACAAACCCACCCCTTGGCAGGTCCTGTTTTCCACCTAGAATGATTACAATAACGGGGTTTAATATCAAGACACCATGAATATTGAACTTCAATCAAGTGTAGCATCAGAGAGAAAAGTGCCTAATAAATAAATATTAATAAATTCTCACCTTGTACTCCTCCAAATCGTCTCTTGAGTCAGACAACTCTCTGCCGTTATCGTTCTAGACTTTCACGCCAAAAGTCAAGGTTAAAAAATGGAAACTCTGGATGCCAGTTGTTCAAGTCCGTCGTCCACTGAAATTGCAACATAAGGACAGCCCCTTGATGGGTGGTAAGAATTCCAACTGTACGCCAGCTGTCCGTCGTACGTTGATGTTGAAACATGAGCCACCCGGTGTCCCCGCTGAGCGCTAGCCTTGTAAGGCTCAGACATTGCGCTCACCACAAAGTGTCTAAATCAGTGCCCATAGAACAAAGGGAGCATGCGAAAGTATACGAGGTGCACGTGCAGGAGCGGTAATAGATATCGAACGCACCGTAAGATTATGTCAGCGGATATCGCTGGTGTGAGTGGTCCTAAAAAGGCAAGTATACGTTATGCCGGGCATCGCGGCACACTTTCCTAATGGGTGGGCCCCTGCTTAGTTGGTTTAGTCTGAGCCAGGGTCTTTCCATGATCATTGTGAATGCCATATGTCTGTTTTTCAGGTCCGACTGATGACAGGGTACCACTCTTTGCCGTCCCCTGGGAGTTCGTGGTACTTTTCTGTTATCATTCAGACAGGCTCAGGGGTTTGAAAGGAACCAAGTACGGTCAGCATCAACTCTACACCGTTGGAGTCCCTGGGAGTCCATCACTATGGTATCCTCCTCATGATCAGTGGCTCAGGGGTTCGTCGAAGACCCATTCGAAAGGACCGAGCCTGAGTCAGGCCCAAACTGATGATAACAGGGTACCTGTCAACGTTCTACCGTTCCCTGGGAGCTCATGGCACTTTTTCTGTTATCACTCGGACCTTGCTCAGTTCCCGTCATCACTCAGCAAACAAGTTACGGACGTGGACCCTTCGAGTTCCCCGTTCCACTCGGGTCGTTGGTAGCTGCTCGTCACATCCGTGTGTACTAAGTAATCACACTTGAACGCAATCGACTCGTTTGGAGACTATACCCACGAGTCTTCTTTGGGGTTGTGCGGCCGCGGCCGCCATGTACTAACTAGATGGATTTATGTATTTACGTCATTTTCAAAATTGGCGATTGAATATATTCATCGATTTGCACATTGTAACTAGCATGTCAGCAACTAGAGCAGTCATGAAAACAGCAACGAAGGAGAAGCATAAACGAAGGAAAAGATGAAAGACAACGACAACGACAAGGAACCGAATAAGGTCTGGGTGATAAGGGAAGAGCTTGCCTGCCAGTTCATGCATGGATAATGAGTCACCGGCCGAGCGGCAGAATCCTAAATGACGGTATCACAGGGGGAGTTCTGTTGGTGAACCAACACTTTCGATGGTGCTTATGGCAGGGCTAGCCTTCTCATCATTATGAGCAGCTTCTTCAGCCCGCTTTTCGCTTGCGAGTCGCCTGCGTGTGCCGGCCGCAGACTCCCACCCGAAAAGCTTAGTACGGCCCTAATAATATTGATGTATAGTTTAGGAAGGTAAAGATAACAATAAGAAACAAACACACCTCTTGGAACTTCATACGCACGAGCACTACGATTACCACGATCCAATAGAACACGTAACTCAGCACGCTACCAAGAGTGGCGGTATTTTCCCATCCCAGTACAGCGTTGAATATGCCCCATGACATATCGGACTCGGGATTACAGCAGTCAAGATGCCATACATTCCCGCGTACGTCATATGATCCGGGTCCGTTACCGCCTGAGTCGTCGACGTCTTGGCCAAGTAAATTGTTGAAGGCGTTTTCTTGGAAAGACCAGATAGCTTTACTGAATAGGCCAGCGCCGATCAGAAGGATCAAATTCGTCATAACGATAAGGAAAATAGTCAGAGCTGGTGTATGATAGGTGAACATTGGTGCAACATGATGCTCAAAGAAACCTTACTTGAGCGGCTGGCGAACTGGTAGATGAAATAACCGCAAACAAGTCCACAAGCAAGGCCCACGATTGCTGCAATGGGAATTGACTTTGCGGGTTGTCCAAGCGCAACACCGCCAACGAAGACGACAGCTTCAATTCCTGCGAAATGTCACATTAGTTGAAAGCATGGTGACATTAAGGGACAATCCTGACCTTCACGCAAGACGGTGATCATCGGAAGAATGAAGAGTACCCACTTCCCAGTCCTTGTGCCACGATCGACATCTGACGACAAGATAGATTTGTTAGGCACGAGAACAGAGGCAAATAAAAGGATACAGACGTTGATCACTAAACGCGCGCTGGAGCTTGATGCGCCATTTAGCTTTGGCCCTGTCTAACTTGAGCATGGTGATGCCCATGACTAGAATCATCCAGCATGCGATAAGTTCGAAGACGCCTATGAAGGTATGATGTGGGTCAGTTTAATTGCGCGGCATAGTGAGAGAAAGAACTTGGGAAACGAGTAAGAATTTGAATGTAGAAACACAGACCTTCCCAGAGATTTTCGGCCTTTACCCAGAGATTGGACGCCTTGGTGAACCATACTGCGATGAATGCAGCACCGAGGGCGAATGAGAGGAACAAGCCTACGCCTCCACCAGCAAAGACCTGATTGCTCATGAGTCCATCTTTCAACATTACCACTGCAGTAACATACCTGGAATCTAAGTTTGCGGATTAAGCGTCTCTTGGCGATGGTATCTGATTCTCCTTCTGGTGTAGTTGTTTCACTGTCGTTGTGCTGAGCTGAATCAGGCTGATAATGCTGCGCGACTGTGGCTAATTGGTCTATGTCGCCATGGACGATTTGCTCCACGAGGCCAAGAAGTACGGATATGATGATGACGGCTTCGAGGGTCTCTCTGAAGACGATGAAGAATATGCTGACGCTGAACAAATTCTGGACAGCCATTGCCGTGGTATCGTTCTTGGGATGTGGGGTTGAAGGAGCATTCTAGTACAGATTTATCTGATAATAAACTTTCAGCCATTGAACCCTTGACTTGAATTTACCGTTAATACCGAAAATTAATCTATCAGATAGTATCCAGGGGGCTCGCCAAGATCCCCAGCCACCATCAAATTTCAAATATAGCGCTTATCAGATAAAATCTTACTTTGTAAAACTTTACTTGATGTGGGAAACAGTACTTGAATTTCAAATGCTGAAGTCAGTTTGGGATTATCAGATAAAATTTGGCGATTATGGGTCATTAACGGAAACTACTTAGGCTTGGAGTAGATAGCTATCTGTGCTTCTTTACTTTCCCTCTGAGGGCTGACTTCGAATCGTCCTCATCACTACCAACTCGAACGTGGGGTCCATGTGGTGCCGTCAGTTGCTTCCCTTGCTTGCACTCTTGTCTCCTGTACTGGCGGGTGTACAAGAGCTTTGGTGGAACGTCACATACGTCGAGAACGCAAATCCAGATGGCCTCTTTGAACGCCGCGTCATTGGTGTCAACGGAACATGGCCGTAAGTCTCTCATATCCTATATGATGAGCTTGTAGAGCTGAGAACTCCTTTGGATTGATACATCTTACTTGCAACTGATATTTCTATTCACTGCAAATCCCCGAAATTTGGATCTCACCATGATGCCTGTCGACTTATTCGGCACTCATAAAGACCTCCACCGATTGAGGTAAACAACACAGATTCATTGCTTGTGCATGTAACGAATAGCATCGATACGCTTGCGACACTGCATCACCATGGCATGTTCTTTAACTCGACGTCCTGGATGGATGGCGCAATGGGAGTTGCGCAATGGTATGTGTACTTGTGTTCATTTGGTCATGTTGACAATGGCTCCATTGCCTGAACCGGTCGTCGCCGTCTTTTGTTTGATGTCTTTATCCATGCAACTAATAAAGTATCTTGCTAATTATTCATCCCATGCAGTGGCATACCCATGGGCCAGACGTTCGACTACGTTGTACCCATCAACACCTCCGGCCAAGTCGGAACATATTGGGCGCATGGTCATGCAAACGTAAGTAAACATTGCTTCTTCGCTTCTTTACTTCGTGTACCTGTTTGTGCTCTCGAAATAACGTTGTACTAAATTCCGTATCCATCCACGCAGGGAATATATGTGGATGGTCTGCGCACGCCTCTCCTGCTGCATTCTGCGAATGAAACTTATGGCGCGCATTACGATGCTGAGTTCACTATCGTGCTGAGCGACTGGTACCATCAAGAACACACTGTCCTCATGGATTCCTTCATCAGCATAGCAAATCCCGGCGGGGCAGAGCCTATACCTGGTGGGTTGCCTCGTCCTATAGTCCATGGTGGTATATTCATGGTCGAATTTTTATTTTTTTGTTTCATGTTCCATTGACTTCAGATGCTGCTCTCATATATTTCTCCCAAAATGGTTCCTACCTGCCACCAATCTCAGGGAGTCACCCATCCCCGGTAACAAGCGCGGTGGGTTTCAACGAGAACTCGACCCTTCCGTTCGAGCCTGGTAAAACGTACAGGCTGCGCATAATCAACACGGGCGCATTTGCAGGGTTCTACTTCTGGATCGACGGGCATGAAATGCAAATTATCGAAGCTGACGGTGTGCGTTTACTTCTACCTGCTTCTGATAACTCGGTGGACTCATTTTACCGCAGACAGACACACTGCCGCAGCCCGCTGATGTCCTGAATCTGGCAGTAGCTCAGCGTTACTCTGTGCTTGTCACTGCGAGGAATGATACATCGTCAAACTGGGCCATCCATGCGAACATGGATACAAGCATGTTTGACAGGGTTCCCAGTACTCTAAATCCAAGTAGGCTATTCCCTTACCAGAGCATTCAATCCCATCTCTTATCGTACTACCTTTCAAAATGCTTGCAGATATCACCTCCACCATCACATACTCCGCCTCCGCTAACACCACTAATCTGACCACCATATCCTCCTATACCTTGGTAAACGATACCTCTCTGGTTCCCTTCGTCGCTTTGCCTGCGCCCGACCCAACAGACACCCTCGATCTTGTGTTCAACTTCGCGACGATGAACGATGGGACAAATCATGGTTACATAAACGATTTGGTTTATAATTCGCCAGTGGTGCCCGCGATCATAAGCGCGCTGACCCTAGGCGAAAATGCCACTAGCCAAGTGGCATACGGGCCGTACAGCTTTGTGTATAACTACGGAGACGTAATCGACCTTGTGGTGATGAATGCCGATACGGGAAAACATCCCTTGTGCGTCTTCTCTACCCTGCATTCGGCGTTTGACAGAATTAATATTACGTTCTAGCCATATGCACGGATACAAGATGCAGATTGTCAATACAGCGACAGATTATACCTCCAACGATACGTCCCTGAACCCACCGCTTGTCGAAGGGCAAGCAAACCCGATGCGTCGTGACACGGTAACCATCCCTGGCGGTGGTTCCGTCACGCTCCGGCTCATCGCTGATAACCCTGGCGCATGGATTTTCCACTGAAAGTCCACGAATCCTCTTCAGGAGAGACGCTTACTTACATTGCTATCATCTAGGTCACATCGAATGGCATCTTGATTCGGGTCTTGCAGTCCAGTTCATAACAGCTCCGCTTCAGATACAAGAACAGGCACAGGGCCGCGTGCCCTCATTTTTGTACGACCAGTGTACTGCGCTCGGAATCCCCGCGAGCGGCAACGCTGCAGGACACGCGAGCCCAACCAACTTGTCGGGCCTCCCGCTTGGCCCGTGGTTCCAGAAGCTCGGTTGGCTGACTAAAGGCATCTTGGCAATGGCTGGGTGAGTTCGGGACTAAAGTACTTGTTCCGATATACTGACAATGCGGGGTGGTTGTAGCTGCGTGTTGACCGCCGCCGTGGGCATCCTCACTGTTGTGTGGTATTCTGCTATGGGAGGTACTATCACTGAGGAGGAGATAGAGGAGTTAGTGCTCAAGCGCATCGAGGAGAAGGAACGCAAAGGAAAGTTCTTTGGTCTGTTCAAGAAAAAGACCTGAATACCTGAATACCTGCGCCATTTGTTCATATTGATCTGGCTGATCACTCTGGCTATGTCGTTCTGAGTAGCTTCATCAATGACTGTAACCACTCAACAGATAGTTTAATGACTACTATTGTGATTAAGAGGTGGATGCACGTGCAATAAGTACATGCAAGTACGAGAGAAATGTAATTTGAAGTTTGATTTACTACATCTTCCCGGATGACGGACTTGCAGATGAGTGAACCGCTATACGTTTCAAACTGAGTCCACCCCATTGGTGTTACTTCTCTTGATTAGACTTTGGCTACTTGGGCCTGACTAGGAGCAGCAAAGCTTACGATAACACTAGGCAGTAATCCAAGCCCTGAAAACCTCATGTGTCTGATTGTATCTTTAGATCCACGCTTGTCTCCCTAGATATTTCGACATATCATCAATTCAAACACTTCACAACCAGGGTCTGACGCAGGTAAACGTAATAACCAACGCCGGGTTATCAAAGGATGATGCTCAAGATAGGCTGTTCAAGGTTCACAGAAGCGCCCCTGAGTATGCAGGCCCATCAAGACAATTGACAGCATTGATTAGACAAACGTACAATATATCATACACCAAGATCAGTACAGAGGGTCACTGAACATAGAAGTCGATGAATCATACGTAAAGAAACCAAAAAATGACCCACTCACAATGTTAATGCTACATGGCTTTTATTTTGCAGAAATCGCCGTCCTCGCTTGCTCGACGCGCCGCTTATTTTTTGCAGTAATATTGTGATCCAAATGCTCGCCGGCTGGAATGTTCTCAGCGACGTTCACAGCACCGGATCCGAAATACAACGCCTGCTGCCAGTGCTTCTCACGAATGGCCATCTCAGCTGCATTTCCTAGCGCCAATGCAAGTTCCTTTCTCGCCCCCAGCACTTCCTTCGAATACTGACCCTGCGTGTGGTTGTCAAATGCAACCAGGGCAGCGGAAAGCTCTGCAGCGCTCGTGAACGCAACCCTGGCGTAATTGTTATCGTTCTCGCGAGAGCGCTCGCGCCCCTTGTCCATACTCGCCTGGACGCGCTGCAGTGCGATCTTCAGGAATCGTCGAATAACATCAGGGTTCGTGATTTGTTGTACGTGATTGAGACAGGTTGAGGATGAAAGACCATTGGGTGCTTTTTTGAGTCCCTGGATGGTATCGAAGGCTTTTCGTTGGGCAAGCACGACGAGCAGGCGTGCGAGGGCCGTTGGACCCATGATACTTTCGTCCGCGATTTGGAGCGGCGCATCCACTGTCATGTTTAGGGATACAGTATACATAGGGCTGCGAAAGATCTCTTCCATACGCTCGACACACGTGTATCGATCCTCCGGTTTACTACGATCGAGTTCACTTGCACTCTTGACTTTGCGTGAAGCAAGGTATGCCATCCGGAGTAGTGACTCGATCTCGGCGTTGGTGACACCGCAAGACTCGGCTGCGTGACTGAGGGTACTGACTAATCTCAGCATAGAAATACGGGATGTGCCTGTAAGCCGTTTATACCATTGAGTATGTTCATCGAGAGAGACATGATGGCGACAGACCTCTATATTCAAACACCTGACCGAAAGCATCTTCATCGGGTGGCTCAAACGCGTGGTAATCAACCTCGACCCGATCAAACCAGCTTTAAGGGAGGATGGGTTAGTCGTGTAACGGAAAGACGGATGATATCACCTACCCCCGGACTTCCCGCCAGTCCTCCTCTTCAATTTTCATCCATACTTCGATGATCTTCTCACACCAGTCTTCTCGGGACGTCAGGATAGCTACAGCTTGGGTCATGGCCTTCCACTCCTGTGCTCTAAAAGCATTGTCTTGAGGCGTCGAAACGCCTGGTACGATGTGCGACGGCCATTGGAAGAAGAGGGCTATGACCTCACACGCGATAGAATCGACTTGTGTTTCAGGGTACCAAGGTGGGCGAGTGATGATGGCGCAGTCAAAAAGTAAATCTAGAATTTCTGGTTTCTTCTTCAAAATGTCAAGACAATGTTTTCGCGATGGAGGTGGTGTGGTACACAAAAGTCCGTGGGCAGTCCATAGAGCGCTTTCTTGAGCCATGGCGTAAAATCGAGGTACATGCTCTGCGGCTCGTTTTGCAGGTATCTCATAGAAGAATTAGTCGAGCACAGGATGGACAAGACGGTATATCGACACACATCAGTTGCACCCATCACCATTTGACTTTGCCATGTCGTGTTTGGAGATCGCATGCCCTCGATGAAGAAATCGGGTCCTTCTAAAGTGAATCTGCAGACAGCTGCGATTATATCTGCTATTTCTGTTACGGATGAAGTCTCTCCCAGTACGGATTCGCTGGCGAGTACGCGCAAGGTATTGATGGCTAACTGACGGAAGATGCAAAGAGGATGATTCAGATGCTAAGAGGCACATGAGAACTCGGAGAATTATTGAATCCAGACAAAGTCCTATATATTCTTACCGATAAACAGATATTAACGACATGGTTCTTCTTCATGTCCTCCAAAAGCGTGCGTCGCTCGGTAAGATTGCCAGTCTGCATAAATTCTTCCAGAGCTTCGAGCGCATTGTATTGGCCAATGTATCGTTCCTTCGGCTGCGATTGCGACTGCGTGTACAGATGGGATGTCACGACAGCGAGAAACGTCTTCACGATCCCTGCCGCATAGCATGCTCTGCCAAAAACACTGAAGCTGAGAGGATCGCGACCTTTCCGTGTCTGAAACTCATTGCGAAATCGGAGTTTGATGGCACCCTAGTTGACACTAGTCCAGATGGTGACATAAAGCGCAGGATACGACGGGACTCACCGTATAGTTCTGCACAAACGTTGGGTCTTGGTTTCGCTCTAGAAGCTTCGCAAAGAGCTTCGTCAGGTTCTGCGATAATTCGGGTTCACGAGCGCCAAGGACTTGTTCGATGCTATTTAGTGTAATATTGTTCATGACCGTTGGAGCGTTGTGCGTGCGCCTGCAGAAAGCTGATTGGAGAGCAGCACAGCAGATCAGTACCAGTGAAAGTGCCCTAGTGATGAATTAAGGCAGGTATCTCTCACAATCAAACCCTAACCCTAATCTTGGGTTTTGCAAGGAAAATAGTATAATAAGACAATAATAAGACGTCCTGCATCTTGAACTATAAGCCATATAACAGGTAACTAAGTCGAGTACAATAGTTAATCTTTACAACGTGTGGGTATATGACCGAGGGTCGTGAGTTCCATTAGAGTCCTATAATCGAATATAATCCACTCCTCCGCATACTATAATCTATCTGTGATACAATCTACTTCTTCAATAAGTCATTGTTGGCGAAGCCGAGACGAAGTTGAACGGAGATGAAGCAGTCGAAGAAGCTACCACGGACGAAGATGCAGCACCAATCGGGATGTTCGGTGATGCAGAAACAATGGGAGATGACGCTGCAATATATGTGGCGCTTGTGGTCGGAGTGTCCGAAGGACTGTTCAAGTTGACGGTAGTGGCTGAGGCAAAAGAGGGAGACGGGGATGTAGCAACTGAGGTTTGTGTCACAGCAGGGACAGTAGATGACACAGTTCCGCTCAATTCCACACTCACCGTTGGTGACGTGCTGGGTGCAGCCGTACCATTAGCTGTCACAGTGACAACCACAGTGGTCACAACGACTACAGTGGAAACATTGTTCGCGCTGGTGGCGGCAGCTGGTGCAGATGTTACAAGAGGGGTTGAGGAAGTGAGGAGCGAAGTTCCAGTCCCAGTGGATACGACGGGAGAGGTAGATGGACTCAAAGCAACGCTGCCAGCACCAGTAGAAGTGCCAGAGCTAAAGGGAGTCGCAGGAGTAGAAGCAACAGAGGAACTCGTCAAAGCGCTCGTAGAAACAATGGACGCAGGGCTACTGGCGGAGGAACTCGCTACGCTAGTGTGCAAGGCAGTGCTGGCCTGAGTAGACGAGGCAGTGACAGTAGTGGTCGGATTGCTAAAGCCAAAGGTTGGACCGTAAGTGGAGGAGCCATACTGACGCTTTTTCATCGTCTTCATCGAGGGGCTGGCGAGGGTGGATGAAGTCTCAAGAGGTGAGGAAGCACATGGGTCATACGTGCTCGAGATAGGAGTGCTTGTGAGAGATGGCAAGGCACTTGTGGAAGATGGTGAGGCACTTGTGGTGGTCTCTACACAGTCGCCACCGTCAGTGGTTGCGTTGCTCGCGGTAGCATTTCCAGTTACCCCTCCCTGAACGCCAGCAGCGATAAAACGTGCGTCAGCATCACTTTGTGTGTCACAAGCGAGACTGGTGCCAGCTTTGGTGACAAGAGGAAGTGCGAAGCACGACAGACCGGACGAGCAAGGCGTGAGGTCCCAGGAACTTCCAATACACTGTGCGAAGGCACTGCTAATGCATGCCTGAGCACCACCTGTGACGCGGTCATAATCAATAAATAAACGAGAGCGAGAAAATACATTGAACCTACTAGTGCAAGAATCATTGGCAGTCATTGTGGCAAACTGAGCATTCAGTTTTTGCGCATCGAGACCGTTTTGTTGTTGGGAAAAGCTCGACGTTGAATTAGATACGAGCTCGTAGTAAGATGCAAGAGGTGCCGCGCTGGCCAGGGAAGCTAGCATGGCAATTAAGAGGTTCTGAGAGAGACCCATGACCGTAGAAGATGATATGTTTGAGTGAGTGTAGGTGACTGTGAGATGCAACTCGCGTTAGAATGAACGTAGTAAGAAGAGCTCCTGGCTCTGATCTAGAAATTCGTTAGAATGACGGAAGAAGAGGCTGCAGTTGCGAGTAGTGCGTACGAGATGGGGATTCAGGGCCATCTGTCTGGCCTTTATATATGAAAACGGCGGTTGTGGACGCATGGACACTCGCGCAGCAGCTTATTGTTTGAAGCTACATAGTTTATAGACTTTCATTGTATTCGTAAAATAGATTCCATATTTTAAATTCAGCGATTATACTTAACCGTTGTTTGTTTAAATTTGGTTTATCTTTTGGGACAAATATATTTTATGACTCAGATCGGGTTTATCCGTTTATCTTATTATCCTCATTCAAATTTTGAGTTAGAGATGCTGCGCCTGCTAACTCGTCCTCTTTATCTCTCCGCCACTCCTTCATCATCCCTGCGTTTCAAACAGGCCCTTGCACTCCGTTCAAGAAAAATGGCAACATTAAACACTCCAGACTTTGTGCGTATCATATTCAATAAGTTATACACCCTTACCAAGAAGCTGCGCTATTATTGCAGAACAAAGTCTTGTATACACCTCTGGCAGAGATCGATCCTGAAGTGCAGAACATCATCGACAAGGAAACTTGGAGGCAGTTTTCCGGACTCGAACTTATCGCGTCTGAGGTGGATCTCACAGTTTGCTGTTATATATCCTCATATTTTCTGAAACATTTCTTAGAACTTGACGAGTCGCGCAACTCTCGAGGCAAATGGCTCAATATTGACCAACAAGTACTCAGAGGGTCTTCCAAATGCCCGATACTATGGTGGCAATGAACACATCGACGAGCTTGAGATTCTTTGCCGCAAGCGTGCCCTTGAAGCGTTCAACCTCGACCCTGCAAAATGGGGTGTGAACGTCCAGCCCTACTCTGGCTCTGTGAGTATCTCACTACAATCAGGCGCTCTGTAATCTTGACATTCAATGATTCTCATGCTAGACTGCCAAGTATGTCTGATATCGCTTATGTGTGATCATGTCTCACATTACGTGACCGATAGCTTTGCAGCTTTAACCGCTCTCCTTCAGCCCCAGGACCGCTTGATGGGTCTTGGTCTCCCAGATGGTGGACATCTCACGCACGGTTACTATGTGAGTTTTTTTTGCCACGTCAATGGTCAGCGGTTCTGAGATTCGATCAATTAGACTGCCAAAAAGAAGATGACCGCTTCCTCAATATACTTCCAGTCATTCCCTTATGCAATCGACCCCACAACACAACTTATCGACTATGCAGGTCTTGAGCGGCAAGCAAAAATCTTCAAGCCCAGATTGATCATTTGCGGTGCCTCCGCTTATCCCCGTGACTGGGATTACGCTGCTTTGAAGAAGACTGCAGATGCAGAGGGTGCATACCTCATGGCTGATATTGCACACACCAGTGGTCTTGTCGCAGCACAAACACTGAATAACCCTTTCGATTACTGTGACATCGTTACCACAACGACGTGAGGTTTCCGCTCACAACCGAGACTACTTTCACACTGACATATATCAGCCACAAGACCCTCCGCGGCCCTCGCGCTGGCCTAATCTTTTTCAAAAGAGATGGACCCAACAGCCAAGATCTTGAGAAGCGCGTTAACGACGCTGTTTTCCCTGCCTGTCAAGGTGGCCCCCACAATAACGTTGGCACCCTAATCTCCGGCTATGAAACACAAGCTGATAACAAAATTATACCAGACTATTGCCGCTGTCGCTACTGCCCTTCTACAGGTAGCCCAGCCTACATTCAAGGCCTACGCTAAACAAGTTATTGTCAATGCGCAGACACTTGCAGCTGCCCTTCATGAACACGGTTACAAACTGCAGACTGGTGGTACTGATAACCACCTTGTTCTGTGGGACCTCCGTCCCCTTGGTTTGACTGGCAGCAAAGTCGAGAAGGTGTGCGACTTATTGGGCATCACAATCAACAGTCAGATCTATTTTCTGTATGAAAATGCAAGATACTGATTTTGAACTCCTGAAATAGAAAACGCAGTTTCTGGCGATGCATCTGCCCAGACTCCTGGTGGTATCCGTCTCGGCACATCGGCGCTGACGTCCCGTGACATGACCGAGAAGGACATCAAGGTTGTCGCTAGCTTCTTGCACCGGGCTGTGCAGCTCTCGCTCTTCCTCCAAAAGGAGGCTGGCTCCAAGCTTCTCAAGGACTTCATCCGCGCTGCAACGGCGAAGGGCTCGGCAGGTGCCGCGCAGGTGGATGAACTCCGCAGAGATGTCGTTTCATTCGCACGTCAATGGCCGCTTCCTGGCGCGGATGTCAGCACGCTCCAGCGTCCGGCAGGCATTGAAGAGGGCTTTTAGGTATTGACGCGTGGAGTGTGCTCGAGTTTATCAGATGTTAAAAAGAGTCAACGGTTTCTTTATTGCATAGCGTGGGCATTCAACATCGTTCACATCAGGGTGGGCATTCAACATAGTCTACAACTGGCATTGTATCAATAGCTGCTGCATATTATGATTAATGTATTCGCAGTTAAACAGTTGTTGATGGTTTACCACGGTTACTTAATGTGGTTACGTGTCGAGACATGGCTCCATGCGGACACTGGCCGAGGGAGTGTACATCCACTACAACCGGCTAGGACGAGTGGAGTGCGAATTCAATACCTGGAATCCCAAACCATCTACCACGGCTGAATGTGCTAATGCTGATCTCTTCTTTATGACCGGTCTTTGGTTTTTAACTTATTTTATATAAATACCGGGTTTGACACAAATTTACCGATACGGTAAATATCCAAAATAACTTAGCCTTATCTGACGCTTTTCGATGCGGTTCTGACTAAAGGCCTAATTAATAATTATTCACCTATCAAACTCAAGCCTAGCTACATAGTACAGACACACCTGCCTTAGCACGTTCAGCGCCAGGTATACGTAGGTACCTAGGCCTGGGCGCTCGCTGAGCCTGTAACTGGATTTCCAAATTCTCATTCGTTCTCGCCGGTAACTATTTTGCGTCAAAGTTCAATGTAAATTAATTGGAATGTATGCCCTCCGGATCCGCCAACACTCTAGATCTTCTAGCTCGAGCTCACCTCCACATTCGTTGATGTTGATTATTTCCTTGTCCGTTACATACGCACGAAAGTATGCTAGTATCCTCGTCAGTCACTCTGCGCGGATGACATGGAGTTCCTCATGACACTCGATAACGGGGGACATCTCGAACAATTTGCTCCGAGCTGTTCAAAGTCAATGCTGGTGCACACCACAGTTTGAATTCGCTATTGTGTGGTCCATCTATATTCGCGAAACCGCAAGCATCCGAAGATGTCATTTTGCACGACGCGGCATGGTGGAGCTATCAACTATCTAATTTCTGGAGGACGGCAAAGGAGAAGGCAATGCTGTGAATGAGCTGCTGGAGGACGACCACTGTTCGACACCGAATGTGATCATGACGGTCCTGGAAGACCGGAAAGAACAGTACTGTTGGTGTGTGTTGTGTAAAGGCTCACCGTAACACAGAAGCGATGGCTTTGTTACAATTCATGACCGTGACGGTAGTTGGTCGAATGCTGACTCAAGGCGGGACAGAAACAGGGGCTGGTGGAGATGGACCTCAGTAATAAATAGAACTGAAGAACGCAAGATCTTTTGGCCCTACCACTCGATCAGCACACATCTATCCAGATTGCTTGACTGTCTTAACCCATATTTGAGTTGTGCGAGGGAGTAACGTTTTGCATGCCTGTGGTATTAATCCGAAAGATACATGTTCGCCGACCATCGGATCAGCATCGCTATGCCATATAGTAAGTAGGAGAATTGTATAAACTTGAACTCTTGAGTGAAGGACATGGATTCATCCAAAGGTAGCCCATGCGCACCAGGCTCCTAACTCCTCTATTCATTACTCTATAACAGCCCACTGTTGCCTTCATCGACAAGCCCATATGAAGCGGTGCAGCCTGGGATGCCAAGGTTGTAAGGGTCATTCCCAGGTTGACATTTCGAGTTGATGCCCGCATACGGGAAACAGATATCACTGGGGCCAGATACGAGTGCCCAATCCTAGCATTTCCAAAACCTAGGTGAGTGTGCATGCACTGCTGCGAGAGACAGTTACTTACATTGGCTGGAGCATATGAGCAGGTATTCCACGTTCCCGGATTTGCGACAGAGGGGTAATAGCAGCTGATAGTATCGCCTGAGCACGTCCAGTAGTTAAGACATGCATCCCCTTGCTGAATACTGATATTTTCATAATCGCAATTAGGACAAGCTTCGCATTCTGCACTAACTCCAGTGCCGAGCGCGAGGAGCAAGGAAATGGCCAGTGTAAAACGAACCATGGTTGCACTAGAATGTTAACTGTGAGATCTAGCAGCAAGGGGATCGCGCAACGAAAACGTACAGTGTAGTTGTTTCAGTTGCCTGGCAAATCTTTGGCTTGATAATCGCTCTTATATGCAAGTTGCTTCAGGCACGACTGGGGATGCGGTGAGATTCTATAAGTCTCGTGTTTGGTGTGGTATGGTCCGTGGTGTGTGTCTGTTCGAATGATATCAGTGCGATTACTTTCAAAGTGATAATTATTGCCCATACTTGCTCACCCATAAAGTTTTATCACATCGTTTCACACGCATTTCCGATGTCCACAAAGCAGATATGCAACAATTACACAACCGGCACCGACAAGACCAGCCCACCGGTGGCCGCCAAATGAACGATGGCACCCACAAATTTCTGTCTCACCGTTTCACATGCATTTTCAGTGTCAACGAAGCAGATATCTAGCAAATACACGACCAACCCGCCGGTGGTGGTTAACTTGAACATGGAATATAATTTAGAAATACTCACATGTACTAGTATTTGCAAGTCAAGTCACTTTGCTCACAAGTGTGATCAAACTGTGACTGAGTGCCTTTCTTCTCCAGGAAGGGGGAAGCACGGGTCGTCCTGCCCGCCCTCATCAAGTGAACGGTCCCTGGAGTTGGAGTCCGAGAGTTCGATGATCTCAGAAAGTGCGGGATTTGATCGGTCTGCGCAAGGTCTATACAAACTGGGTGCAGACTTGCGTCCTGTCAGTGTGTTTCTCGGATTCAGAAAGTGTCAGGAAGTCGCACGATGTCACTATTGCATCCCGCCCAGCCTCAAGCCTCAGGCTCCATCCTGCCTGCCTGGCACCAGATCTTTACCTCCTGATCCCTGTGAGTCTCTCATGCTTTCTTGCCTGTCTACTACTTCCTCCGTGTTTGCCTATTTCCTACTCACTTGCCAACACCACCATGTCGTTGTCTGCAGCTTCCAGTCTACGGCTGCCATGTCCTCCCTCCGAGGGATTAGAAACGCGATGGAAAACTGACAAGGATGACGAGATTGGCATGACAGTGGTTGACATAGATGGCGAGATGAGTGATGGTGGCTGGCGTAAACGGCAGGGTGGTTTCGATGATGCGGCAAGACAACAGACAGACCTTTGACCGCCCGGAACTTTAGACATGTTCCCCCAGACGCGTCCCAAGACTTTGGTGCGGAGTCTGCGCAGAATTGCATAAGCTTCATACAGACTGGTCACTTCCTGCATGACCTTCGAGTTGTCCTACCCAAAAGATTCAAGAAGCGATGGCAAGGCACGGAAGATGCCGAACCACTGCCGGGCGGCTCTGCTACCCCACACGAGTGAAAATACTCACCACAGAGTATCGGAGCAGATATCATCGTAAGCCACGGAAATTTGACGCGGGAGAACATGGTAAGCCGCGGTGGATGGTGTGTTTGCTCACGCTAGACCACGACTCGTGGTATGTTCTCATAACACGGGAAGACATGACACAATATTACTATGTAGATTGCGGTAGCATACAGAAGCAATACCACAGTGATGGGTATAGTCTACGAGCGTACAGGATGATCCTGAAGCACGTTCATACAATCATCAATGCAATAGTGCGCCATCCGAGCGATGTGCATAATGGTGGATACTTTGAAAACAATGCAGGTATGATAGCGAGAGAACAAGCGAAAGCAGACGTGGATAACAACAAACGGGATTTGAGAACGAGGGCGGATGAATTCTAGCATTTAGGTGCTAAACCCACCGGCTGTGAAACCTGTCACGCACGATGGACTGGACTCCAGTAAGCTCAGCAACAATCTGCTTGACTTGGTATAGAAAACTCGTCGAGGTTCAACATTAAAACTGGAGTGCCGAGTATACTAGTACATGACACGGAGAAGAGAATCGGAAACAACTGCACCGCTCAGCAGTTAGAGCCGACGCACTTGGTATCGTACACAACACAAGCGCATAGCATGAGGAAAGGTACATAAAAAAAAACAGGAAGCTTGGCCCGCACATAATCTACTTCTTTTCTGTCAAACCATTTGCTACAGGCTTTGTAAATTTCGACTTCCAGGTTCACAACGAGGCGTGGGACGTACACAAGCGATTTTCAAGGATGAACTCGAGAATCTTCTTTCCCAGTTCTTCCCCATGGTAGTCTTGACGACAAATCTCTTTCGCTACTTTCTCTACTGTGACGACCATAGGAGATTTCAGGTAGCAGTCCATGGCAGACTCGACAAGCTCCGAGCCCTTCAACTGATTCGGGAGAAATGCAGAGTGCTCGAGGACGATAATGGTGGCTGCTTCCTGTCATTAAGACTACAACCAGTCGTGTAGTGAGAAACTAACCGATGCCAGTCTGAATTATTCTGTTCACAGCAGAAGTGAACAGTGAACTCTTCACAGCCTGTTACACACTTTTACGGTGCTGGGAATCAATGCAGAGGGAAACCAACCTACCAAGGGCTGGAGGACGTGGATAATATCATCTCGGTAGGTTAGGGCCTGACCACAAGTTGAAAGTATGGGTATCGGAATCGACTCCACAGAGGAAAGTACTTGCCCACTGCGGGAAAGGAATGTCAGAATCATGAGGTGGAAATTTGGCATTTCATTGATCACTGGGACGCACATTCTATTTGGTTGACGTGACAGTCGCGAATAATCAACCACCAGATTGTAGACAATGACTGCTATGCTCAGGTAACTTACAAACTGTCAGGGGTTGGAACCATATGAGCATCACTATATATTGGCGAATACCATTATTGGACGTACGAGCTAAATGAGATTGTTTGTCAGCGGAGTAACATGATGTCAGACAGGGTATGATCAACACACATTCTGCGAACACGTGAAGAAGGGAAGAGATTATGAGGCTAAAACGATTGACGATTGAAATAGACTTACATCCTAAGGATCGACAGATTCAGAGATTTAACGCTTCGCATTATGAAGGTCAAACGACTCACATTCTGCACAGGACACGAAAATGTGCAAGATGAATGAACATGGAAAATAAGTGATCAAGGAGGGATACTCAACGAACTAAGGATTATATGAGCAATGATGATTCGACTCATCTAATGGAATAGAACGCACTCACATTAGGCTATGAAAACGAGTGAACATCATTACATTATTCAGCATCAGCTCAATACAGGATATGATTAAGACACACCACCTGCCAAAATGAAACAGTAACATGTAAGACCTATTCGCATGAGTTGCAGACAAAAAACCATCAAGGTACTTACCAGCTGTCAACAGGTTAGGAGCAGCGATTGTCAGCATGGGTTAGGGATAAGAGACCATCAAAAGTCCATACAATCTGTCAACAAGCGAGCAGCAGAGAAGCACGAGGATCATGAGCATGGGTCGAGAACTAGAAACCATCAAGTTACTTACGTCCTGTAAACAGGCGAGCAGCAGTGAGGGATGCGGATCATGAGCATGGGTCAAGGACTAGAAACCATCAAGTCACTTACGTCCTGTCAACAGGCGGGCAGCAGCGAGTGATGGGGATCATGAGCATGGGTCGAGGACTAGAAACCATAAAGGCACTTACCCACTATGAACAGGCGAGCAGCAGCGAGGGACGGGGATGATGAGCACGGGTCGAGGACTAGAAACCATAAAAGCACTTACCTCCTGTCAACAGGCAAGCAGCAGCGAGGGATCGGCATGATGAACATGGGTCGAGGACCAGAAACCATCAAGGCACTTACGCCCTGTCAACAGGTGAGGAGCAGCAATTGTCAGCATGGGTTAAGGATGAGAGACCATCAAAAGCACATACATTCTGTCAACAGGCGAGCCGCAGCGAGGGATGGCGATCATGAGCACGGGTCGAGGACTAGAAACAATCAAGGCACTTACCAACTGTCAACAGGCAAGCAGCAGCGAGGAATGGCGATCATGAGCATAGGTCGAGGGCTAGAAACCATAAAGGCACTTACGTCCTGTCAACAGGTGAGCAGCAGCGAGGGATGAGGATCATGAGCACGGGTCGAGGACCAAAAACTATCAAGGCACTTACCTCCTGTCAACAGGCAAGCAGCAGCGAGGGATGGGATCATGAGCATGAGTCAAGGACTAGAAACCATCAAGACACTTACCCGCTGTCAACAGGCGAGCAGCAGCGAGGAATGACAATCATGAGCATGGGTCAAAAACTGGAAACAATCAAGGCACTTACATACTGTCAATAGGCGAGCAGCAGTGAGGCATCAGTGTTGTCCCTGCGTAGCTTTGTAAGCCACAATCTTACCAGCTGTTATTAATAAACTACAATCAAGGAAAATATATCAGAATGTCTACAGGTTTAGCGCTTCGATATTTACCATCCGTGAGAACCATTGCCAGGAAATTGTCAGATCGAATCAATCTTCGTCTTACTTCGAGATGTGGAAACCACTTAGCAATGCTATGTTGATAGCCTTCATCATCGACTTGCTTATGTGCACGATCAACGATTGTTCTAGATGATGTTGAAACCAAAATAGGTGACTTGCAAATCTGAGACTCACGCGATGGCGCACTTGATGCAAAGCTCAAGGTTCGATTTTTGTGTTGACACCAAGCACAATCGTAATTGTTCATTGTCCAGTGCGAGAGTGGTGCTTTCCAGCAGTGCGTCGCAGTTTTTATTCTGTTGGTTCATATCTAGGACATTTGCTAATGTCAACTTTCACATATGACAAATCAATCTGAACCACTCACTCTGCAAGCGTACATGGGACTTGGGACGCGCAAGGTTTTGCGGGTTGTACAACCGATCCAAGACTCCTGTCTTTGTGAACAGTTCCTCAACACGCTCAGCAATCCTCTTTGAGCGCTCTTCGCCCGATACTCCTTGTAGCTGCTTCTTGATGTCCCCATATGCGAATGGACGCAGAGCTTCGAATTTGGTGAACACCACGACCACAGGAACTGAAGATCGTTCATTTAGTCCGAGCGCGGCAACTGACGATGAAATTGCAAACTCACCGTTCCCGGTGTCGCACTCCTGGAAGAATTTCTCCTCTGACCGCTGGAATGTTCGACTCGGATCGTCCATTGGAATACAATACCTGACGGTAATGAACAAGCGCGGAATGTCATAAGGGAGTTACTTACCAGATAGCATGGATTCGCTCTTCTAATTTCGTCGCATGTGAGCGTTCTGACATGAATTTCTTCATGTTCTCGAATTCTCCTTCAGACCCCGCTTCGAAACCGCACGAGTCGTGAAAGACAAAAGTGGGATTGCTTTTAAATACCATTTCGTTCGTGATGTTGTGATTTCCACGCTGAGGAGCATTATCAGCGCATGTATACCCACAGGGAAAATCATGCACACACCTTAATCGATGATTCCACGATGGCAGTATCGATCTACCCGCGATTCATCAGCGATGGACGCGTGTATGGCATAGATCATCACTCGTACCTTATTTCCTTCGGTATCGTAAATTTCTGGTTGATCGGTGGTGTTGCAGACCTTTTGAAGGATGGTTGTTTTGCCTGCGTTTGCTCTCCCCACGATCAGAACTCGAAAGCGCCCGATTCTTTCTCTGAGGTCCTGGGCTTCGATGGTTGCCATTGGGAGATCTTGATATGGTTCTGAAGTAGAGGTGATCTGGTTTACCGTGAAAGCTGTACTGTGGTACAGAGCGAGGTCGTGGAGAGATATGGCAGCCGACGAATACGAAGCAAGGGTTCTTAAGCTTGGGCACAACAGCTACACACAGCGTCTATCTCTTATGTATCTCCCTGCAACAGACCACTGCCACCGATTATACTCTTGCATAGATACGAAGTCGCAACTGTTCGATCGTTCGTATCATAAGTTGAAAGCACGAGGATTACACAACAAATGACGCCAAATGACGAGAACGTTAATAGGGATATGAACTATGATGAATGATCAGAATACGACGGACATGACAGAATTTCGCTCTTCCCTATACCGGTTTAGCTGAGAGCAGTGATATCGGAAATCTCAGTAGGCGAGTTCCATCTTCTAAATGGTTTATCCTTGAAACGTCTGAGAGAAAATGAGAGCATATCGGTATCTGAGACAGCCTCTGGAGTGGGCGACATCCCGTGCTGCTGGACAGGGTCCGCACGTATGGAGTTTTCCTGGAAGATGATGGTTCTGGGTATAAAATGAGGGGCAATCAGGTGCCGTGTGTGTTGGCTGAACTCGAATGTCGGCCATGCTCGTTGGTCTGAGGGAAAGGCAGACGTAGCGGGCCGCAGGAGCTTGTGTGTTCATAGATAGCTCGGGGCAGGTTTGATACACGTTCGCGGATGAGTCCGACTGTTCATCATACTTCATAAACTGGCGCATATATTGTCAGGTATTGCAGAAGACGTACCGGTCAACATACACAAGGATTCTCAGGGCTGGCGTGCGTCTCACTGGATTACGATGAAATCCGCCCCCAAAACCCTTCAGCTTGGATATCTATTCATGAGCACAATATTAATGGACAAACTTCTTGCAGCCTCCCGAGTCGCAGTGTGTGCCACCGTTCGACTCAGCCCTACTTGGACTCTTCCTCCATTGCTGGTCCCTACTGTGATGAGCCGTGTCGTTCAGGCCAACTCCTTCTCTATTCTTATCACGTAATGAAGTACATGACCCTGCGCCTCGAACATGTTTTGGCAAGAACACGATCGGCATAATGACTCGCGGTGCAAGCCAAGACTCACTAGTTTAAAAGATGTGTGACTGTATGTCTTGGATCCAGCCATTTCGAAAAACATAGACAGCATTGCGAGACATAGCGTTGAATGCAGGCACAAAGCCGTGAAGTATATTGCGCACCCTCATCAGTAAACCGGTGAGTTCTTGCTGGGGATTATGCTGATTATGGTGCTTTTACATGGTCATATATTGCTTTATATCACTTTATATTACAATGTGACGAAAACCTTTCCTATATATTACGATATATAACGATATATGACGATATCTTCTTCTCACAGGTTCTCTGATGCTTATCTAGAGCTCGACATGAAAGTTAGAGTTCGACAGCGGGGAATGGGGATACCCTCAAGTGAAGGTGTGAGCTGCAGTAGGAATCTGGGTTGTGTGACTGCTTCTGTGCTATGCCCGGTGTCTTCGTCATCTAGACCAGCTGTTTGCGTCCACAAGAGGGAGTGACGAAGATCATTACGCTTCACGTGCGTAAAGAATCTTCCATAAGGATACGCTCATCCACATGTAGGGATGCGAGAACACCGTTGTCATTAGGGTGTGGATGCGGTTGATCTGGAGACGGTTATCGTTGTGGATGGGGAAGTGAGATGGGAGGGCAGACCATCTATCCATCACTGAAAACCGGATAACCCGGTATGACAATATTTACCTTATAAGGTTGGCGAAATCTGTGTTGTCCTTATATGCCCATGTATTGGCCTACTTATCAAGCATCATTTTCCTGATCCGTGAGCTTGTTTGTCGTTTCGACACATTAATTTAACAGTATGTCGAATTCTAAGCTGGTGGTATAGTTTTTGCATTCATGCGTAAAAATTGCTTAATACTATATAGCAGTGCAGAATGATAGGAAGACGTCGATGCTGTAGGCATACACTCAACGTATATGGCGCTGATCTATTCAAAAATTCTAGACACAAAACTCACACACACCACTGTGAGTTGCACTCGTCCTCCATGGCTTCGCTACATTTGCTTGTCATTGTCATATTTTCTGATTCAACAATTCATCTCAAGATGCAGTCAGTGCCATCCTTCTTCGCTTCTGAGGTCCTAACATCTCTTACTCGACATTGAGCCGACTTTTCAAACAGGCACTGCCGGTCTGTCAAAAGCTCGAAGGGATGTGGTGCTTGGAATGAGCTGTGACATTTTACTGGAGATTGATGGTGTTGAACGCGGCCGAGGGATTGTGGGTACCTTTCTCTAAGCTGCAGAGGTGCGTGTAATATGTATTGTGCATTTTTATGCTGCTAACTACCTCATTTCCATAGGTACTCAAGACTTAAACTTACCTCTCCCTCATCTCCTTCTCACCCTCCTCCACTCCTCTCATTCTGGCGCCTTCCGGTGTGGTTCGCATATGTTCGAGCCACGTCAGCATTTGCTGACATGCGCTGGGCATGTGCGCTAAGCACTGGCGGTTGTTGGGATCGGGCAGTAGTGAATGGTGGTCTGGATGATCCCTCAATCCCACTTGAAACCTATTCTGCATTTTGGCCTTTCTTCAAAGTCAACATTGGCCATGTGTCCTCGACCGATGCTCGAAACTGCCGTTATCTCTGTTGGTTTTAGCTGTCTGCAACTGACGCCGAAGCTCGCAGCCTTACCCGGCTCCGACCCTGCTCCTTCTCTTTTCCTATTCTGAAATAGTTTGACCACCGGATCTCAAAACGAATGAGGTACAACTCCCTTGGGAAGGGTCAAGACCTCAGTCACCACCGGCCGAGCATATCTTCCGGTCATTGATAAGTAAGGATCCGACTCAGATTTTATTTACAATCCCCACTATCACCTACTCTGCCTTCAATCACTCATTAACGCTACTTCCTGCAAGTTTCTCGACAGGATGCCATCCAGAAAGTCGCACTGTACTACATGGTCTGGCAACAGGATATGTCATGTCGTGGTCTATGTTTCTGTCTAAGGATGACTGGTCTTCGATGATATGGCTGAACTCGATCTCATATTTGGATTTGATCCCTGCGACCAACTTCTATTCCATGGCCAAAAACTCGATCCTATGGCTGAACTCGATCCTGTTACATCCTATGGTACCACAAGTTCGATTATATACCGCCAAACTTGATCCTATACTGGCACCGCCGAGCTTGATTGTACACCGGCACCGCCAAACTCAGTCAACCACTTGAGCAGTGCAAATTTTGCATAAGGAAACAATAGTGTCAAGTTGCCGCGACACCTTGCTTTCATTGGACTTCAAGGCACTAACGATATCTGTTGTGGTTCAACCCATGTTATTGTTCCTGCAGACGGTGTTGATGATGAGATTAGGGTAGAGAATTGGCGAGGCATTGATAAACTACATGTATTGTACCGAGTGTCTCTGTATAATCCTATACAACCCAATGTGACTTCCTGGCCAATCAAGTATAAAACCCGCAATACCATGATGCCAATGAAACAATTGTCCATATGATGGTACAGATGGCAAGAATTTCCATCTCTTTTACTTATTGGACAGGAGAGCCTCTGTGCTAGAAATGCTAAATGAGAGACACTTTTTCGAACATGCTTCACCACTTCAGTACAGTTTTAGTACTGTCACAACATGATTCATGCAGCTAATGCTAAATGAAAACCATCTTGATGATTATTGGTCATAGGGGATAGCGTTCTACACATATATATCTTGTTTTCAGCAATTAGCGTGTTTATCAATCCGTTTGAGTTTTTACACAGCCAAATTCATTCAACTAATGCCGGGCACAGGTAATCATGATAAAGATTGGTCGCAAGGGATAACAATATATTTCTATACAAGACTATGGCTTCTGCACTGCCATATTTTATACGATTATAGACATTGTTGGGATTATAATGTGTATATAAGGGTTTATCATAGATCTTGGTTTTCAGTGATGTTGCTGTGGCGGGGATGTCTTCAAAGGTGTTGTAATCTGCAAAACGGTTCTCCTGTACGGATAAATTGATATCGTAGTAAAAAGCACAAGAATAGAAAAACGAACCTCTATATCAGGATCATGATCTAGTCTATCCTGGACAGGTTGTGGGTCCCGATACCATGCTAGCATGTATCATTTTCTCTGTCAGAGAACGCGTCCCCTTCGTATCGGGACCTCTACACACCGTCTCCACGTTCCATAAGGTCCTTAGTGCAGCTGGCTCTTGCACAATCTCTCGCAATCGCAGTGATATTTTTTGGTGTTACTGAGAGTGTGGAATCATGGTGTGCCGACGAAGGTATGTCGTGCCGACACGAGACGCTGACAGAACGCAGGTCACAGATAACTGAGATAAGTTCTGCGCAACATGTGCTCTACCTGCATTTCGTGTGTTGGAGACTCTGAGAGAAGTAAATTCAAACATTGAGTCACATGACAGGTGATGATCATTCTGAATTTATTCGTATATCCGTCACTCGAGAGTTATCGTACTTATTGCCAGATATTTATCAGTACACATCTGCCTCTAACCGTCTTGATTCTCAAGATCTCATACCCAAGTTTTGTGAAAGAGTAACATTTTGCATGACCGTGGTCATCAGTGAACCTGTGAACATATTAAAATGTCATAGTTGACTATATATTGATAGCAATCACAAGAATCTTCGAAAATGTGGCGGGGGGGGTTACATGACCTTATGTGGGAACGATGAATTTTCCAAGTATGCTACAAAACTGTCCTATCTTCGGCATACCATCTTCTGCTTGGATTATCCTGCTAACAGATCGTGAAACCCAAGCGAACAAAGCAAAATGCTAGTTCGTAATTGTGAGGGTAAGTGTAAAAATTCGCCAACTGGTACTGATGCAAAGTCCTTTCATCATGTGGCAATCTGTAATTTAATAGGTCCGGTGCGAGAGCTGCAGCTCCTCAGACTAGTTGTGAATTGCTGCTGTCAATATTTGCTTGCATAATGAAAAATGTGAAGTTCACATTTGACAACCTGCTCGTTCAGTGCAACTCAGGGCACAAGACGCCTACGTGGCACAGATTTACCTATACTGACTAACCTGTGTGTCATAAGCTTCGGACGGAGTCCTGTGGCCACTTCACATCACATCCATCGTTAAGGTATTTTGTCAACCATGCTCTATCGGCGCTGATTGGAAGAGTGGACTCAACTTACGACACCGGAGGTTCTTGTTTCTGACGTCCTATCTTCATAGTCAAAGGTTTTAATGAATATTTGTAAGCCACTGGTCTAGACCCCTTGTCGAACTAGATATTGCCGGACTGCCGTATTGAACAGAATATTGTGATGCTGCCCAATCTTCTGCTCAGCGATACGAAAGTCAAAAATTCTTGATCAAAACCATAATCTGCAAACTAATACACAACAAATGCATTTGGTAGGCGGAGGAACTGTCGTAGGTGTTGGCATGTCAAAATACACATCAACCGAAAGCACAAACGCGAAAAAAAAAATCCGATTTGAATATATATATATATATTGTGCTCTGTCTAAGCAAGAACCGAGCATCTCACCGGAATGAGAGACGTGGCAGATGCTAAAGCCAAACTGCGAGACTGTCAGTAAAATGCACATCAGCCGATGGCACAAGCGCGACTGATTTGAATATATATATGTGTGTGTGCTCTGTTTGAGCAAGGTCCGAGCATCTCACTGGAATGAGAGACGTGGCAGATGCTAAAGCCAAACTGCAAGGCCGTCAGGTTAGTGCCTGTTCTAAATGAAACAGGAAAAGTCTTCTGACGGGAAGCATGGTGAAAATCAACTGGAAAACGCGTGGTTCTGGAATCGTCTGTGTAGAGAAAGACGAGTTATTCTTGAGGAAGACAACAAATGTTGACAACAATTATTCCTCCGTCCCGCTTGCAGGCTAGGTACTATAAATCTAGTGTGGAAGAATGATTTTCCCCTTGGATGCCGAAGAGCAAGGTGACGGGGTTGCGAAGAGATGGTGAGGTATGCTTAGTATTTCATTCAGCGACTGATTAGTCTGGCTTCAACGACCTCACGTCTTGGAGGAGTTGCGGCATATGTGCAACGAGACATTTGTCATTACAGTCATAGACACATTTGATCATATAGACAGCATCCCTATAACTTAACCGGATTGGAAGGAGGAATAGTATTAGCAGTAGACGGCATACTGAGCAATATTGAAACTACTTAGTATTGTCAATCAAAATCATTCATGCCTCAAATGGTGTTCCATCCTTGTAGCAATACGCGGGACAATATGATTGCATCAGAGACAGCTATTGTAAATGGTATATACGATGATGAAACTGGATCCAGTTAATCAGAGTCGAAAGCGGCATCCTCCAGCGCCTTTCTCTGCTCTGCTAGTGCCGTGACGGACATCTGTGACACAACCTCTGGCGTCAGGTCCTCACGATGATTTTTACCGAAAATCTTTCTAAACAGTAGCGTTAGATCACTGATAAAAACCCGAAAAGACAGTCAATACCTGGTCCACCATTCCAGGAGATGGTTCACCCGCTGTTGTGTGATGGGTCCAGGGACGTTCTCGAAAAAGTCCACGACGTTGCTCCAGAATACTTTGTAGTCAAAGTCGGCGTCAACGGTGCGCCAAGATGAGATGTTGGATAGTGCGAAACGAACCTGTCAGACACACATTGTATAGACGTGGATGTACATAATAAGATTGACTCACTTGGCAGACAACATACGCCAGGGAGCGAGGAGTGACTTTCCTCATGTTGATTATGGAGGCCACGCAAGTTTTGACCTTGACTTGGTTTAGTTGTCGCCGGGCGCGCCTGTTATTTTCAAGTATGTCAGCTCCATCGCCATCTCTATCAGCCTCTCTTGCTGAGGATGGAGATGTAAACACAGCCTTGAAGGCCTAACGTAATAACGATGAACATAGTCATCATGAAATAAGACCGAAGGCAACTAACCTGAACAAGAATCTTGGACTTGAAGAGGCCTTGCTCCAAGTTGTCAAGTTTAACTGCGTAATTCTCGTACAAGAACAACGGCCAAGAATTTTCTGACACGATATAATCCGACGTTCTGTCGCGGATACCAGCCTTCACACTGGGCAACCATGAGGGTCATATGATAGTTGACGAAGGCCAATGCTCACCGGTTATCATCCCAATTCCACTCAGAAGGACACAGTAACTTCCCGCAAATGTCGTGGACGAAGCCACGGGCATGCTTGTCATCAGACTTGAGTAGAGAGGGTGGATGGAAGTGTTCATTAATCCAAGTGGCAACGAGGTCCTTAAGAGTGGAGGTGTCGTCACCGCACGCAGCATCTGCTCCTCTCTTAAGCTATGACGCCATCAGTATGTTGAAGAGAACGTTTGAAATTAAGAGCTTAGACCTGTTTCAGCATGTCTTGGCAGTCATCCACTTCAAGTTGCCCAAGCCTTTCATGCAGCCACGGCAGGACCTGCGCGACTATGATATAACCACGCTGCAAGCGATCGTGTCTGATTCATACTATCAGGTTTGGTATAGAAAAAAAAGGCAACGACATACTCTGGGGTGGCGCCCTCCGAGCCCTCCTCATACCTCCGATCATTTTCAGCAATCAGGTCCTCCAAGTTGGTGTAAAGGACGCCCATGCGGCGAATAGCCCTGCCTTGAGAAACGTAAAAGGTCGTTTTTCTGCGAGGTTCGATGAACAAACGACATGACCGGAGTGCGAGACGACAAACCTCTGCTTCCCTCTTCTTTCTTGCTTCATATTTTCCAATTCGTCTTCCAACACAGCAATACGACGCTTAGCCCTCGCCTCTGCGGAGGTAGGGACTACCCCAGAGATGTCTGGAAGCGCGAGGGGGTATGACTCGTTACGATGGTCAGCCTCTGATGCAGACATAGTAGAAGTGAGAGAATTAAGGTGAGGTGTAGCACAAGAAGAAAAATAAAGAGCACGAGTGACAAATAGAGAGAATGGGGGAGATGGATGAAGAGAAGATGCAAGCGAGAAAACTCACTTGCGCTATTAAATACCACTAAATGTCAAGATATATAGGGCAATGCCGAATGAGGATGCGTGAACTGCGACGATTTCGACCTTAGTAAGCAGCCTCGCCTCTGGGAAAAAAAAATGGCACCATTTATGTGTACTAGGTCGAGTCTCAGGCCAGAGATGAGTCTATTGAGACGCGTGCTCGTCCTATACTGAATCTTGTCAGTGGTGCACGAATTTTTTTATAGATTTCGTTGGTGCCGCATATGTTGCCCAGTGCGCTGTCATAATCGGTAATTTCGGCTTCTGGCACAAGGATAGGCTGCGAGGGCGGGATACCACCGCGTTTGGTGCATCTTCCTTCTCTCTCACCGCTACGCTCTCGGTCGCGGGCTTGCATCTGTTTCATATCGTCGTCGGGGTACTCTCTATACACATCACGAAGGTCACGCCCGTCCTTCGAGCGTTTTCCAAGGGAGTGTCGCGGCGTGCCGTTCCGTGACCCGTGACCCTCCCTCCCGGCATATATTGAATTAGACGGTGTGTCACCATCACGTCTGCCAGTACCCCCATCTGCAAAAAATTCCTCGTAGAAAGAACAGAAACCTAGTAGTACACGGTAGAGATCAAGTATCAGAGACGGGCAATATATTTGATGAACAAAATACGCACTGTAGACAATGCTGACAATTCCGCACAATCTGCCGTCCATGAGCAAGCTTGGAGATGAGCGAGTAGGCTCGAAATCAGAATCGGTTACGAAGACTTCATACGCATTGGCTGATCAGTGAAGTCATCAGGCTGTGCCATTCTGTGAGACAGAGAAAAATGGACGCACGCGCAAGCACTTTCTGAATCGCATGAGTGTGCTAGTGGGGAGGATGACATACGTGACTGTGTAGCACATCACAGAATGCAATGCGCGGAGATAGATGTAAGCAGAAGAAACATATAGGCAGACGGGGATACTCGCCGTATGTGCTCCCTTCGCAAACACTCCAAGAAGTGAAATAAGGCTAACGTTATGCGGAAGGGTCTCTAGGGAAATGTCTACGAGTGAAAGGGCGTCAATACGGGCGTAGAGGATGAGGAAAAAGCAAAATATATGGACGCCAACATAAACTGTTGCGTAGGATAAGATAAACAAGTCATAAAACACGTCACAAACCTGATTGTTCAACACATGATGCTAAAAAGGCACAGGCTCAAGTCCTTCTCGCGCAGCACTCGAAATCTGATCGGCATGGGAGTTAACGCAAAGTCAATGAGTTCAGGTGACAGTTGAAAAGCAGGATGGAGTCAGGCGCTAGGTATGATGGCAGAATGATAAGAAGTTATAACGTTAAGAAGTTGTTCAATAAGCCGGGACCGCGGGACGACTCATGTGGTGCATGACTTAAATGAAAACTGCACACTCAGGCTGCTCCCGTTAGGTGTTGTTTGCATGTGCGAACCATTTCAGTCATAGCCGCATAGGTTGCACGTGATTGGCGTGACGCGCATCAATGCGTCGACGCGTCAACCCCGGATCAGTAAAACAAAGTCCTCGTGAAATCATGAACGCGGTTACAAGTACAGTAATGAGGTGTGATGGGCTAATATCCGGACCCGTACGAAATGGAGAGAGATTGTATTGTAGCGTATTTGACAGGTAGTAGCTTGCAATGAAAGATGTAAGAATGTGAGCAAAAATTTCCTTCAACAACACCGGCTTCCTCAACTATCAACCCGAAGCAATGCTAAGCCTTCACACGCTTGCTGCGGTGTTTGCATGTACACTTAAAGCCCGCAAGGCTTTGAGCGAGACTGTCTTGAGAAGACACAGTAGCCGATATTTCCGAGTCCGAGGAACTGCACTTCGACTCAGTAGGCTCGTAGGATTCGTCGTGCGAGCGTTTGACGCCTTTGAAAACTTCATCGTGCCAGAGGTCATAGCGCTGATGTGCGGTGAGATCGGCTGCCTTCATCACGTTCTTTGCACCAAGGCACCATACAATGGGCTGCCTGACTTCAGCATTTTCTAACTCGGAACAGTTGACGTCCTCGCTCAGCTCCCGTGAGAAGGAGACTAGACAGTCTCTGATCTTGCGCACACCTCTCTCGAGCATGGCCGTTACAGCGTCCATGTTCAAGTTGGGGGCCAAAGTCTGCAGTTTTGTTAGATAGATCCACGACACAACTATCGGTGTGACTTACCCCATGAGCCATGAACTGAGGATCATAATTACGAACGTCGATCCGATCTTGATGATCACCCTTCACCCACACGAAGTACTCAACGGACTGGATGTGGCACCAGTCATGCTCACCGACCCTGATAGGCGTGTCGAAAGATCGTGGCGTTGTGCGTTGGCTAATGAATTCGTCGAGAGTGAGAGATTGAGGGTCGTCTTCCCCGTTGCGTAACTCCTTCGATGCGATTGAATCGGCATTGGGACAGGCGTAACGTATGCCTTCGCACACGAGAACAATGATGGCTAAAACTGCGTCCGGATGCGCTTCAATTTCATCTTCCATCCTTTTGAAGACCTTATCCCTGTTCTGCGAGAATGCGCACTCTCCGATAGCGGGAACTAGGACCACCGATGGCGCATCATCAACCGCAGAGATGGTGATGGTCATGTCCGGGTTCACGATCTTACTTCCCCCGATCTTCAACGGATAGTTCATGCTTATCGTCGTTTCAACTAACTCGGGATCATACGGAAGTTGAGCTATTGCCAGTGTGAGGTGACGTTTGAGATAATTGAAAGAAGCTTCGTGCAGAAAGCTAGGCATGTCGACGGACAAGATGTGCTTGTCGTAGTCGTAAGCAAGCCTGTACTAGTTTAGCAATCCTCGAAATAGACAGATTTGTTAACCCTTACCTCGGCTTCGTTAAAATTCGGCCCGCTTCTCCTGCCTCGTGTATCAACCTAAATTCTGCTGGTCTCACACCATGGAATTCCTGTTAGTAAGCACATCAGCGGCTGTATTCAGTGACTCAGACGACTTCCAAGTTACCTTGTGGCCTTCATCAGCAGTCGGGTCAGCCATATAGTCCAATACCCTCTTCACGTCTTCAACCAAGTAAGAATTCTATCGATAAATGCTTAATTTCTCGAAACTTACTTGGGGTAAACACTTCGGAACGCAGAGACTTCTTGGGAACATCGCCACACAAAACATCTGTCGCTATGGTAGGAACACTCTCTACTGGCTTGGTCTGCCCTACCGCTTCTGCACGCAGGGGTGTTTTAGCGGATGCTGCTTTTTCAGCTCTGTTTGGTGGAGGTAGACTTGAGGCATGTAATTTCTGGTGCTTGGGCTTCTGATCTGACTCTGTGAGCGCTGGTGTTGTCAATGGACTTGTAGATATCGATCTGGCCTCATAGCACTGGTATGTTTTGGGTACCAAAGTGGTGTAGAAGGAACGGTGGTCCACTTGAGTTACTATTGTAGACATGGCTGTTGGATGTCAAGTGTCGTTGGGTGCTGAGCAATGCCTTTGTGTGAAACGTAAGATCAAACGTGGAAGCTCCGAAGATAACTTGAGTCTTGAGATTACAAATGATAATGATAAATCGGGTAGTGGGAACAACAAATGCCATCATCAGTTGCTACAGTACTTACTTGCAGTCACGGTAGCCTAGCTAGTCGTCGATATCTCATCTCTCCCTCCTCGACCCCTTTCCAACGTACCCTTGGCGAGTATATAGAGTATAATACCCCCGGTCATACACTCCATTATGTATAGCGCCTGGTGTGTACCACATGTTCGCTACCCTTCTATTTTGCTTCTATGACACTACTAAATTCGCTAGAGAGTACCGCAAGTTAGATTCATAATTATCAGTATTAGCTCCACATTGTATAAGTACTATTACATGTTATCTGAGATCTGAGCCTTTCAGATAGTGAAATCGTGGCATAGATCACCTCATGCTACGCCATGCGGCCACCCACACAATAACCGCTTTTCAGCGGGAACTTTCATCTTACCAACATCGTGTAATACCTTCAGCCACATCCCGGCGTGAACGGCGCCAATCATTCATCTCTGCAAGTCATGGTGTATATCCCTGACAGCCTGGCCTTAACCACATTCGACATCCGGATCCTCCTGTCGCCTTATCTCCTGCTACATTTTCAAAATAAATAAATTCACGATCAGGGCAGCTCACCACAATGTAGAAGCAAGGGTTCAATATCTCCAACAAGATGCATCAGGCATTTATTATTAGCAACAGGGCCGGTAGCCAGCAGTAGCCTTCCAGTCACATTACACAGCTAGTGAGGGAGAGGTACTTGAAGCTCAAGCTATAGAACCAGAACTCTGCCTCAAAATCAAAAAAGATCCATTCACACTCGCAGTTTTCTTCCGGTGACTCTTCGCATGTCCGCGTCATATCTATAGTCGTGACTTCCAGTTCGTGCAGCGTTCGACAGTTCTGGATATTTGTACTTGTTCGGATGCTGAGCGCGAACGGCTGGGTTCGATTTTAGATAGCTGTGCTGTGTTAGATGATATGATAGGAATGAGTGGATGAAGTTGTACCTCTTTTTTTATATATTTTTGTCTAGTAGGTGTTCTTTGAGTTTCCCGGCGCGTGGAGGGGCAGGAGGAAGGACGCTGTGGGAGGTTTGGGCATTTCACCTTGGGGGTCTTCTGGTATGGGGTGTTTGAAGGATGAAGAATGAGACGCTGGAGTTTCGATAGCGTGCTAAGGTGAGTGAGACGGTCACAGTAGATTGGGGAAATGGTCACGCATCTTGAAATCTCCTTCGGCTTGATGTTGGTCTACGGGCTCATCCTTGGCTTTTGAGCTTAAAGCTCGACAGTGGCCGTCTTCAAGGACTGACTCGATTTGAGATGAAAATGGTGTGGTGTGGGTCGTTGCTATGTGACATGGAGAGGCGCTGATTTCTCACGGAGATTGAATTGAGTCCGTAATTCAAGTTCGCCGCATTGTCACGGTATTCCGACTACCAGGTTGCTAGTATTAGTAGTAGTGACCTCATGTTCTCGTAGTCTTTTGTGTTGTCCTGGCTGTCATTTTTACTGGTTTTACGGTATCATCATAGGTTGTAGTACTACGTGGCAGTATGCATGTTTCAGTTGATTTCTACTCGATCAATGCTAGTTTTCGTATCTAGTAGTACGCCCAGGTTCGAGCCCCAGCCTGAGAGAGGTGAAGAACGGACCTCCAAGTCACTGGGGCTTTTTTATATGATATATAGCCCCAGCGAGAACTAAAACAACTAACGAACCTCAGCGAGCCGATTTAGCAGGTGCTCTGAGACTCGCTGGCGCTCTCTCTGGCTCAAGCGACCTTTCACTGAAGCACCCTGTACCTACATAATCATCATCATTGTGATTGTGCGGCGATTAAAAAAAATCAGTATCAGTGGTGTGGGAGATTTGATCAAGTCCTTGAGCCGGGCCCCTGGGATCATCATGATACCGATGGTTGAAGTCAGCAAAAAAACCAACCACCAGGAATTATTAATTACTACTCGTGCGCGACTACGTCAGGCACTGTGCTGCATCCTCAATGTCTTAATGTTCGGGTCTATATCGACACGACTCTCAGACTGTAGCTGTTCGCAGGTTTTCAAGCATCTCGAAGACTACTATCACTACTAGTAGTACACGAACTTCAAGTGACATACAACATCATCGGGTCCGGGACAGCTTCTGCTTGTGCGAGCATGAGCGTAGCATCAACCCCTGTGAGTCAACTCGAAAGCTATGGTGCTGTTACTAATCTGTATGAAGTTCTGAACCCTGCAAGAATCAATACCCCGTGCAGCAGCGAGCAGCACTAATATGCCGTTTCAGGCTCCAGCCGAAGGTTCGGTACATGGGTAAGCGTCCTCGAGTCTGGAGGCCCTGTGAAGCTTCAGATTTGTACCCCATTTAATTCGACCATGCTGCTCTAATATCTTGATAATATGTAATAGGCACCTTGAGATGAGTTTAAATGCCCTTTTAGATCGAAGTTCTGCCAACCCTCAAACTCATTGTCACAGTTCCCTCTGCAAAGCGGCTGGACCGTCCTGTAGCTGTTTGCACAGCGCTTACATCAATAGTATTCATGCCCCCAGGTAAATTCTTTCTCATTGTGATGGGCAGTCCAGACGCTGACGACTTCAACAGTACGTACGCAGGATGACCCCTTCATTCACTGGAAGGTGGACATCGGACGCGCAGAAGCGGCTGAGGCCTCTCTGACAACTTCAACTTCAACAGTACGCACGCAGGGTGACCCCTTCGTTCACTGGAAGGTGGATTTCGAACGCGCAGAAGCGGCTAAGGCTTCCCGGCAACAAAGGCAAAAATATGTTACCAGCGCCATGACTACCATGGCCTCTACTATTAGTGCTGCCCCAGAGAACGGGAGTCACACATTAGAAGGCCTTGTCAGCACGTTCCACCACTACGTCCCCCCCACGGTCCCCACAACAGGTCAAGTCTCTTTTCCTCTTCCTCAGCCTTGCGTCCAATTGTCTTCCTTCCAGGCGCCTTGGCAAGCGCCTCTCACCCTGCTGCCCTTTCAACCACCACTCGCTCCGCCATTGTCACCATCACCCCAATCACTTCCATCGCCATTATCGCCCATACCGTCCCCATCGCCCATACTGCCCCCATCGCCCATACTGCTCCCATACGAGTCACCCCCATCGCCCATACTGTCCCCATCACCCTCATGGCCCATACTGCCCCCACCGCCTCCATCTTCTCCATATCAGACCATGTGGCAAGATCCAGAGACAACACCAGCGCGCTTAGGGTCAGCCGCCATCTGGCAGTGGGCACCCGAGCCAGCCTTTGGTTGCGAATTCGACTTGGAAGAGTTGATAGCAAAGTTGAATCTTGTGTGGGACGGGCAGAATCAGACATTCTGGGAGCAATTTACTCAAGATGTAGTAGAAGTGTGAAGCCTGTCATCATGTTGTTGTCGTTTATTGCTAGTAGTACCACTTAGGACGGTTGGATTGGAAGTTCAGTCAGTGTTCGGGAGCTTGATTTGCGTACCGGCTGATCCGCAGCATGCATGCTCGTAAAGGGAAATGCCAGATATATCAGGGGGGCACGTGATAAGCACTCGCACCTTCAGAGCACGAACAAATTATGTAAGACTCAGACAGAATTCAATAACTCGGTGACATGAGCTTACATGAATCGATATTCGAAACCACACAAATAACTGACAAGTATAGCAACAATTCTGAAATCCAATACCACCAACCAGGAAAATGCTTGATCGCCTCCTCCGTCAAGTCCAACTAGAATTTCTCCTAGATCTGCTCATGCACATGGAGCGCTTGATGTTGTTCGTGTGCACCATGAACGCTACCGAGTTGACTTAGCACTTTTGCGAAGGATCGTAAATATGATAAAACAGTAGACACCACCCTGTTCCAGATTATCAGCTCTCTAATAGTTCAAGAGCGTCCTATTCTCACCGATAGTTGCTGCAATAGTCTTGTTGGGGATAGAGTGTACCATACCCTGCAACGGCCCAGTCGCCAGCGAATGAGCTTCAGATACAAATACTCCCTCCTGAGAAACTGATCCACGAGTGTGAACAACTGGAGGACAAACTGGTCCTGGTGCGCGTCATCACCATCTTTGAAAATGACAAGACATCCTGTCCTCAGAACACTGGAAATATATAAAAAAGGAGTATGGACTTGAGTAGAGACTCGACTTGAAGATGGAAGACTTGTCAGCGTCGATAACCATAATGTCCATGTGTGCATTGAGCGGCAGAGACAGAGGAGGGATGTTGACGAGCCCGTTCTTAGAGTCATTGATGAAAGAGAGGTCGTGGTTTTTTAGAAACGCGCAGCTCCTTCAAGTTAGTTTGAAAAAGCCCTAGCATTTAGATCAATACAAGGAAGCTACATATCAGAGAAAAACACACCAAGATTGTGCACCGTGAATCCTCAGTTCTGTGTTCCCAAGTAGCTCTGAAACAGACGGGTGTGATATTGGTCCCTCTAACTTCTGAGAACTAGTGTTGTGTGGCCTGCAAAATGAGTGATAGTATGTACACAGGGAAGTAACAGAAAATTTAAGATCAGAGAACTTTGCAAAAGTGAAGTCGCCTCGGTTGTCCTTATCCATGAAGAAATAAAACGAGAATGACAAGTACTAGCACAAACTTACTAATGGTAGAGTGTGCGCGACGAACATCACGTGCATGTAGGACATATGAAATCTTTATCACGTGACATCTCACTCCGAGGCGTACATAAGACTAGCACACACCCCATTATGCCTTCGGCACAAGAAGCAAAAAGGAGCTCTTCTTGCTCCTTTTTAGCCTCCTAGCTTCAGCTGCATTCCAATAATTACCAGAGGTTTTGAAATGAATAAATCACATTTTTAGGATGATTTTGATAAAAGTAAAAGTACAATTAAATATATTCATTCTCCCATCTCCTGTCTCCCGTCTCCTGTCTCCTGTCTCCTGTCTCCTGTCTCCTGTCTCCCGTCTCCCGTCTCCCGTCTCCCCGTCCTCCTATTCTTAGTGTTTTAAAGTCTGGTCCAGTTAGGCATTGGCATGGGTATGGGTATAGGTCTGACTTTCAAGACCTGTGACCCATGTACCCATGTGGCAATACCTGTTGAAGCTAGCGGTATGCGCTCAGTGCCTGGAAGGAACAACTAATATTAATGTTACCTAGCAGTACGGGCTAGGGAGACTAGAGTAAGGAATGGCAAGATAACAAGACATATGGAACAAACATACCTCAGTGTCTGGAAGGAACAACTGAGGTATGACAAGAGAAATGGAGTGACTATATGTACTGATACACGTGATATGAGTCAAAAAGGAAAGTGCTATGGTAAATGATGACGATGACGAAGGAGAACTTCAACACACACCCACAACAACATGTTGTTGCAATCATGGTGACCCAAGGGAGCGAACCGCTTGATGATGAAGGAAGAGAGGTTGGGGAAGACACCTGGTGAAAATTTTGGCAATGTTTTTGTGAGTCGACAACCACTCTGGCTTGAACATGCCTTCCTCAATGTGTGCATGGATAAAATGGAAACAAAGGTTGATATGCTTGGTGCAATTATGATTAGCAGCCTCTTCGGAGAGAGCAATGGCTCCGGCGTTGTCTGCAAAGAGGTGAACAGGAAGGGAGAGTGGGATGCACAGACATTTGAAGAAAGATGCGAGCCGAAGGCCATCTTGAATTGTGGCCATGAGTGCCATGTACTCAGCCTCAGTCGAGGATAGTGCATGGGTTAGCTGCTTCTTCAACAAGTGGGACACAGGTCCTCTGTTGAAGAACCAGACATACCCAAATATGGAGATACGATCTTCGGGGGTACTGGCCCAATCGGAGTCACTGAATCTGTAAAGTTCAGGAAGTGCTGTAGCACCCCCATAATGAACATGTAGGCTGATGGTACCAGATAGGAAATGAAGGACATGTTTGGCCACAGTGTAGTGGCAGGGCTCTGGACAACTGTTTGTTAGAGTTAGCACATAATGGAGGTGAAGGTATGAGCACATGATAGGAAAGCTTAGTAATACGTAGAAGGATGAGTAATGTAGGGAACGACTAATAACCGGTAATGTCCGAATCAGACATTATTTGTCATCGACTTGTGGACCATAGATGAGTCTGCGCTTACATATACATGGACAGGGTACTTACACTTAGCGTACCTCAGTATATAAACTGTAGTGATATTTACAATAGAATTCAGTCAAAATATAATATTCGAATCTACTCTAAATTCTAAATACTTCTACAGGTTATGAGCCCTGCCTCGACTACAGATAGTACCATGCTCCCCAGCTCCAACTCCGCACTCTACAATATACCCCAGCTTGCCGAAGATGGCTTGAACTGGATCACATATAAACAAAGGGCCAAGATGGTGATCGGTGTCTTCTTAGATAGATGATCTATAGATAAACACCTATAAAACAAATATCTCCACGGTCAGCGATTCAGACAAATACCAATGACTGATAACGTGGTCGTTCGTGGGTGGCTAGTTGTATACTACCCAAGGTATGTTCAGCTAAGGATACTTCTGCAAGATCAGTAATATGATGGTCAATCCAATCTATGGACTTTGACAGGAAAACAAACAAACAATGGTCAGCCCGACAGTATGGCAATGACCAAAAGAATATACGGGATTCTTCCTCAAGTTCCCTTTCAACAACAGTGCCTCGTACCAACTATACTCCAAAGAAATGGTGCAGAATTACAATGATAAACCCCCTCAGCACAAAACAGGTAGAATCAAAGGTCAAGACTAGTCAAATGCTTTATTGTAGAACTCTTAGCTCAATATTGAACCTGCTGTCAAGGAACTCTTCTTTGAGTATTCAAACAGACTCAGGAACGGACGTCCTTGGGTTTACTACCAAGTCCCCTCTTCAACGGCTAAAGCCTAGCAGGCACAGAATATCTTGGCTCAGTATCACTACTCAGATGAGTGAGGTCAAGCTTCACTATCAATTCCTAAAGTCTCCCCACTATGCTACTACTGAGTCTTAGGTGGACGTAGAGACAACACGAATATTTTGGATCAGTATTTTTGGACAAAGAACACCAAAGGTTAGTGAAAGTAAAAGGAAAAGAAAAAGAATAATAGAAATCAGAATAAAAGTGTGGCTGTACCTTGCTTGCTGGTTGTTGCACACAGTGAGCTCACAGCGGGTCGTTCAGTATGATGAGCTTGCAGTATTACTGTCTCTTGAGAGTGTTCCTCTCAGTCTTGAAACAGTTCTTGACACTGGTACTGACACTTATCACACCTTACTCACAACTTAGTGTTAGTTGGGCTGAGAAACACCCTACTACCTGCTGGTATCTGCTTCTTTTTTATTTCAAAAACTGAGGTCATTATATACACAATAAATGTGGCTGCGCTACTAGTGTATTCAAGAGTCATCAAGAGTCATAATGAGTCATATGTGCAAGGTGAGTCATAGTGAGTCATAGTAAGTATCTAGAGTGAGTCATAGTGAGTCATTGGGTATTTGCTAAGTCATGTGACCTGTCCAACCCCTGATGACAAATCCAGAAGGAGAGTAGGAAGTGTCACATGATATGAATCCTGTGCGTGGCTGTCTTTGCTTTGCCTTGTTTGAAGGGTGAGAATGACGCGAGCCTAGTATTTAGGGGTTTACTAATGTTTTTCCAGGACAACATATGTGGGAAATATTTTTCACAGTCACCTGACATGTGTGGGATTTTGTCTGGGTCATCACCATGGCTGACTAAGCAAAACTCATCGCAGAATTAAATGTACTAAAATATTCAGGCTGCTGGCATATAAACTTGAAAAAAATAAAAAGAAAAGCAAAAAAATATTCCCTTAGCCTCAGTCCAACTTCAGATAAAAGGGAAAAGGGTTTCATAGTGGTATTTCAGGGTATTTGACTCATGAGAGAGTATTGGTCGTCCATGCACCGAACCGGTTTGGTGCAGGTCATCGGTGCTCGAGGTTTGATGTGGTACCTAAACGGTTGAATAACGAAGCCAGTCCCATATGGGACAAATACAAGTGGCCAGGTCGTAAAGCTGGATGGCTCGATACCAACAGCTACTGAAGTCAAAGACTTAGATAAGAAGATCGACGAACATTATCAAAAGGACTCACTAGTCAGACAGCATATATTCAGCACAATAACAGATCGGCTATTGCTGCGCGTCCAGCACCTGGACAAGGTCTCCGAGATATGGAAGGAGATAGCCACTATGCATGAAGGCAAAACAGAACTAGTGCAAATAGACTTGTGCCGAAAGCTGCAAGAAATGAGATGTGAGGAAGGAGGAGATGTCAAAGCACATTTCGGGGAGATTTACTGAATTCGCGAGTTGCTGGCAGGAATGGGAGTGACAATCAAGGACAAAGATTTTTCGGTCATCATTATGGGGTCTCTTCCAGA